GAGGTCACTGGTTTATGGAGGTTATAGCTGCCTTTGGGAACATGAGATGATGAAAGAGAGTTGACTGACTTTTTTGTGTAATTTGAGCATACTGGTTTTCATTTAAAACAGAATTTTTGAAATTCTGTTCCAACTGTGTTTACAGGAGCCATTAGTTCTAATTGAGAAGCAGTACTGATGTTGAATGGGAGACAGAAAAAAGGGTGGAGGTGGAATCAAGTGGCATAAACCAGAGTAATGTACAGTATGAACAAGGGCAAACAGTACTCCCAAGATAATGGAATAATCTGCTTTCAGTTAATGAATACAGAAACTTGTGGAAAATATTTTTATATGAAAACTAATAGCAATGCCCCCCATTGTTTATTTAAATGTAAATCCTTGAAATGGAACTAAAAGATGCGTAACTACAAAGGGTCTTTTTAAGTTGTCATGGGTTAAGATTGACACCCCCCCCCCCCGAGAGTCAGGGGCTCAGAGGTGATTGGGTGCCAGGGCAGTGTTCCCTGGAGAGCAAATTACCACTTGTCTTGTTCGCTTCTGCTAAAAAATCATATATACACAGCACCAGAAGCTGCTGGCAATTCTCTGTTGCTGTCTGCTGCGTGTGGGTGTAGAAGGCCAGGGGGTGGCTGGACTCCTTCTTCCCCCCACTCCAGGTGGGAAGGGGAGCCCTGCGGCCCCCAACTCGGCCTAGGCCAGAGTTGGAGGCAGCATTGAAATGAGTGTGTGTTGTGAAAGAAGAGATTCACAGCACCTGAGGTGAGAGGGAGAGGCAGGCCCCTTGCGAGGAGGCCAGGACCTCTTCCCCCCCCCGCAGCTGCTGTGGCCAAGGCTAGGGGGCTTTTCCCCCACACACTGCATTGAGGCTGGTGGGGGGTGGATTTTAAGGCTTAGTATTGAAGCTCAGCCAAGAGACGGGGCCGGAGGAGGAGGCTTGGTTGCCAGGAGAAACAGTTGTGATTCATTGCAACAGTTGGAAGAACTTCAGGCAAGAACTGGAGATGGACCAAAGGGCTCGGGAGTTGCCCTACAGAGGTTTGACTGGGGGCAGCTGAAAACTGACTCAGAGGACATTGAACTACAGCAGCCTACGAACCAAGGTATGAGAGGACGGACTTAAAGCTACCTTCTTGGACTTCGTGAGGAGAAAAGACTGCAGCAAACAGCTGGAGGTTGGTAGGGAGTGTTCAGGGGCCCCAGACATCCCCATGAGAGAGAGACTGGTTACTTATCAGCCTGAAAAGGCTTTTCCTGGATTAAAGTTAAAAGAAGAAGCTTCAAAGGGACTGATAGAAGTGTAATAATATATATATATATAGTTGCTTTTAGTTTATACAGTATATTTATTTGTGTAAATAAATGTAAATACTTCCCCCTTCCCCTATAGAAGCCTCTTGCCTGAAAGTTTGAGCATTGAGATAAATTGTGGGAAAGGGTGGGGAAGCCTGGAAATTGGATTTTGGATTTCTAACATGGCTCAAACTGCCACGTAAGTGTATGACCAAGGTTTTGCTAGGAAGACTGGTATTTTGTGTTGCTCTGAGGGACCAGAGCAACCATGGGCAGACTCTTTCCTGATGTGGCATAACACTAGCGACAAAAGACACAGCAAACCACTGTTTGCAGTGTAAGACTGATATAGCCTTTGGAATCTATAGATTTAAGAAAAGTGCTTAATTTCTTCTTTCTTTAAAAATAGTATAAGCAATGGAGATAGCATTTCTCATAGTTGTGCATTAGTCCACCCATAGTCCATCCATAGTACCTCAAACCAGCACTACATCTTGGGATCTATACAGGACTGTAGGAGGTCCAGCTCAGCTCCTGTTATCATATGTAGCCCTTCTTCATGTCCATCCAGCCCCAGATCTTTTGAGAGGATGGATGTTTGAGAGGACTTTGGTCTTATTCCACTCAGTGGAGAGTTTTGTGTCATTTGATAAGCACATGGCCACAGAAAACATCAACCCTGAAAGCCTGTTACTAGAGTCAGGGAGTTTCAGGAGCAAAAGAAAATTACAAAGACATCTCAGGAGACTAGATCAGTAAAGTGAACTGAAGGAAGTTCAGTACCAACAGAACATGTTTAAAAACAAGTGTCTGCTTCATTACATCATGGAATGGGAAAAAAAGAGAATTCAACAATTGTTTTTAACTTCTCCTCATTAGTCAATTTTTACTCTTCCATGTACTTCAGGAAAAAGTGGATCTAAGACCAGGGAATGAGATATTGCCCAATTAAGGATTTTCCTTAAAGTTAACAATAGAGAAGAGCTAAGATCAAATTTCAAAACAGTGAGCCAAAGTTTGCGATATATGTACCTTGAAAAAATTGTCTTCTTAATGCTTTATAATAGCTAAAGTCAAATGAAAATAGCCTTTCCTTTGGTTTAAGTTTGAACTTTGTTTATTTGAGACAGTTTTTTGTGTAGCATCTCAGACTGTATGGTAACTAATAATATAAAACAACAATAACAATAAAATAACAATATAAAATGGTGCTGGCCAGTTTGATTGAGCATGTGGTTAATTTTGTGGGATTTTTTTTTGGGCAATATATAGTATGTGCTTCTGGTGTGTTCAACAAACATTAAAAACTATAATCGTGCAACATATCTCACCATTGCCTCAGGCACGTCACAAACTTTAAATAACTAGGAAAAATAATGAAAAATAAAGGTTTGATTCCTAGCTCTGCAGAATTTAGACCACTGTTGTTCCAGTACAAAAAAGGGGAATGCATTTCATTATCTCACCATTATTACCTGTGAAGAGGGAATGTGTAAAGGTGAAGCTTGTAAATGGGCCTTATGATCCTAAACGACAGAACTATTTTGGTTTAAGGCAAGAAACCTGCAGCAAGACTTGCCAGTGTGATTACCGAACTGAAGCCTGGACTCAATGTACAATTTATATGTCATGAAGAACTATTTATAAGGAGCTGTAATTTTAGTAGATACAAATTGTTGCACAGGTTAACCACATCATCTCACCAGCTGTCTAAATCTGCTCTGGGAAGAAACAGGGCCAAGCTGTTAAATCCTTGCTCTGATCTACTACATGGATTTAGAAGCTTATTAATTTTTTTTATGTGTGCTTGAGCACAGAAATACCATTACTTGTCATTTGTGATGAGACAGCCTTAAAAAAAACTTCAGAGGGATAACTGTTAAGGGATTTCAAAAAATCTTAAAAAATGCCAAGGCGATGTATTCACTCTTTCTGTATCTCTAATGGTCACAATTGCTGTGATCACTTGTGATGCCCACTCTTGCCTGGTGTGCAAAGCCCTGCCCGGACATCTGGGTCCCTTACCACAGTGGTGCAGAGTGCGGGGCTGAAGCTGTGACTCCAGTTGTAGCGAGTCTGTCTCCTGTACTGCTGTCTGTGTTGGCAATGGTGTTTTCAAGTAACACAATATTTGATGGTTTGTTTTCTAAGCTGTTTTACGTCAAGAGGCCAGACAAAGACCAACAATAAATGAGAAGAGACGGAGACAAAAGATGGTTGGTAGAAACAGGCAGGTGCTCTTTATTTCATGTGGCACAGCATTAGGTAGACAACCCAAGAAACAGTTTCTAACAAAAACCAAAGCCATCACTTCCAGGAACCATCCCCCAAACAAGGGTCTACTACCAACAGTGGCACTGAGATGTCGTTGCCTGTCCACTCTCATCTCCTCATAGTTTGTATGTGCTTAGGCTGTGTCTTAGCGGTGAGCGTCCTTTCCAAGGAGACTAACTTCTTATGACACAATATCTTTAGACAGCATACATACTGTGCAGGATCACCAGAGTACAATCTCCTCAAGCCATGCTAAAATATAATGCTCTAACTCTGGAGAGAAGGCTGTGTGATCGCCTCGTGTCTCTCTGAGGTAATACAATGCTGTTCCTTAGCTGACAACATGAGGGGCACCTGAGGGAGGATCGATATGGCTTCAGAGTCTATTTTTAAACTCCCGATGCAGTAGGGAGGACCTGGCATGCTGTCTGCCGAGACAAGGTGAGGACCTCCTCCACCCCTGGCCGCCAGCAGCACCAGAGAGCTGAGCCTACTGTCACCCAGAGGGATGAGAACAGAGATGCTCTTGGACTAGGAGAGGGCCATCAAAATTCACAACGAACCGGTGGTTAGTAGGTGAAAAGTGAGCAATGATGGGAGTTTGGGGGGGGTGTTACATCATTAGCACTCTGGATTTAAAGGCATGAAGAATGGTTGGTGGAAGGAAGATGTTTTAGAGACTAAGGGCAAAGCTTTAAAAGCCTCAGGATATTACTTTTAATTATTATCTACAGGTTATTCTCTCTATATATACTATTTTTTTTTTCTAAATTATGAAAATAAACATTTATTAACAAGTCACTGGGTCAAATCCTGCTCTCCAATGAAGCCAAATCCATTGACTTCAATGAGAGGGAGCCCTGTGTAAACAACGAAGGGCAAATTCGGCCCTTTATGTCCTGAAAAATCTGCTTGTACCCATTTTCTTTCAATACTGCAAGGAAATACAGATTGAAGGGTGAATTAATTGTTACATATATCTCTTAAACTACCAGGGGAGTGTCAATGAGATGTGGCAAAGGAGCAGAAAGAGAGAACCATAAGTAAGTACTGATTTAAAGAGAATTTTATCCATATTTCAGAACAAATGTACTAAAAGAGAGTGGATCTGGATCAAGCCCTACTGTCCTTTACTTTCTAAGCAATGACAAAATCCTTCATTTAGCTTCAGTGAAATGTTTACACAACCAGAGAAAACAGAAGGAACCAAACAGTCCTTTTCCTTTGCAAACATCATATGCACAAAGGTGAACACCGTCATCCCTTCGGATGCTTTGCTAACTCCCACTGTCTGCACAGTGCAGCGTCAGCCGCTGAAGACAAAACACATCTACTGTGCACACGAGTAAAACCTGTGGTGTCCTACAAATGTAACATTTTGACGTTTTGAATATTAAAAACCTCTAGGTGCTTTTAGACACAGAACAATACGATTTTGGATGCATTTACCACTTTTATTTCACTATGCAGAAACATACATTCACCATGTGTTGTGATGCAGCTGACAGTGTAATGGATGCTATCCCTTCTGTGGGTATTAGAGCTGGACACTAATGAGTTTTTGGTGGATGTTCTGTACAGGTTAAGGCTTGACTCTGAACTAGATAGTAAATGCTGACCAGATTCTCAAACAGATTTTCTTTTTCCTCTGAGAACAAAAGGGAAATCAATAGAAAACCATCACGGTTATTTCAGATTAATAATTTTCTAAAGCTGCAAACTAAGTAAAATACAGATATTCTTTTTTTCTTTCTCCAAAATAACTACATATAATTTACAAGGTTAGGATCTGTGAAGGGTGACTGGAAGCTGACTCTGAACAATGCTGACAAAAATCGGTAAAGTTAATATACTAAAATCATTACTACCTCATAGGGTATTCATTCAGGTATACAAAGCACACTTTGTAAGCATTTAAATGTTTTGATAAGAGTAGAGATTCATCATTGTTTATCGGGCAGTAATAAAACCAGATGAAACAAATATAAGATTCCAGTTGTTTACCGAATAAACTGTGTTATTGGCACATCTAATGTGTGGTAAAACATTATACACAGTACCTATACAGCTTCTAGCATTTTGGGGGTAATCTTCATTTACAATATCCATAAACAAAAGGCTTGCCACCTAACAAATTTTAATTTGTTTAGACTTTCAGAAACTGTGAAAGGCATGAACTGTTTATGTGTTACATGAGATCACTGTTTATATTGTTTATGAACGTGCAGGTATAGCTGAAAACTTAGACATTTTAAGAAAATTAAAAATGCTGCTTTTCTGTAATTTTATTGTTGCTTCATGCAATATTGTTTAACTGCTGCTGATTCAGATTGTTTTCTATGGGAAGGTATCTCTGCCAGTTTCTTTATTAACTGTCAAGATCAATTCTTCTGTACTGAAATTTTCCATAGACAGATACAAGTCAGTCATGTTGGAACTGAGACTCCGTATAGGCTCTCGTATTCCTACTGGTATGCATGTCTGGATTCATATGCAATCTAGGTTATTCCTGCAGAAAAGAGAATTGAGTTAATTATTTGAAGCAACTACTCTCTTACAAAAGATATTTTGTAACTTTGTTCATGTAAGAAAAGCTATTTGAAAATGGCATCATCCCAGTATGAGCAACTTGGACCAAATCCAAAGTCCACTGATGCCAATGGAAAGAATTAGCGACATCAATAGACTTTTAAGCAAGCCACATTGAGCTGTCTCTGAAACAATTAGCAGAATACCACAAGAATCACAGCTACTCACTCCTTAGTGACTGGTTCCATCTTCCAAATAAATAACTGACACTGAAATTCAGTTTTCTTTAGGGTCTGTATATCCAAAAGCAGAAGAGCCAAAGAGCTTCAAAAGGTGCTGTGCATTATACTCTGTTACTTACACCAAGTGCTAAGGAATACATATTGTTTTAAGAATAAAATGCTGCTATTGATTCCAACAAATCTGACAAGCAGCGTTTTCTTCCCCCTCTGCATACAGCATTCAAAGCAATTTGTGCAGTGGTGCTGGCATTAACAGCTTTTGCATAGCAGGTTAGTATGCATGGCATGTTTCTGCACACAGAAGAAATATAGGAATATTAAGATGTCTGTTTATCCAGCCACTATTGGAGAGCATGCCTTTACTGAAAAAAAGCTTGACACAAGAAAAGCTGCATTATCATCTCATCCTGATAAACAATGCTGCTTTAAAACATAAAATGTTCTTTCAAATACAAGAAAGCCAAGACACCCAAATACTGACAAACTAATTCACTGCGTTTAACAGCAAGTTGGACCATATCTTTGCAAGTTGGAAATTAAAGCATAACTTGTAACATATCTGCAAGGGACATTTAAAAAGCAGCTGTAGGTTTTTTTCCTTGGCATTTTTAAACCAAAATGCACACCTTTAAGAACAAATTATTTTTGTTCTTAAATGATACGAAAGCAGATGATTTTTTATTACTTCAGAATTAGAAAATTAGACTATAACAAAGCATGGACAATGAGGACTTTTCAGAGAGCCAACGAAAGCAAATGAGTAGTTCTCTTTCTCCAGTTGGCACCGTTAAATGAAGACAGATGATTAGAGCTGAACGTGGTTTACTTTCAAATACCAGAACTGATAACCAACGCAAATGCAAGTGGAAAATGCCACTGAGAGAAAGCGAAGAGTTACAGGTGAAATATGGTAGGAGAACAACATTTGCAACATGCCAGCCCAGTAAATGCCTAGGAAAATCATCTAATCTTCTTACCTCTGGTCAATCCTCCCCATCTTCTGGTGTGATTTCTGTCTCTTTATGTACCACTACTTTGGTCACTGACATGTCAGGGTGCTGCTCTTTGGCTTCTTTAATTGCCTGAGCCAGCGCCTATCCCAAGGAAACCACAGAAGGGCAAAAACAAAAAGGAGGTGGAACATGCATGATCAGTAGCAAGGTGGAGAGATTCACGAGATATTACACAATTTACAAATGGGGAAAATGATTAAAATATGAAATATACCATCAATGATTTAACTACTAATCCAGTTTAATTTAAGGCATGCCAGTATGAACAGTATCTGTCAAAGCAGTATTTAGAAATGTTCTCTTTGGCAGTCTTCATGGCAGCTTCTTTAGCAGTCTATAGATTTTACCTGATCATGATCAATATCTGCATCTCCTGTGATGACTATTCTTTTTTCAATTCTTGTCTCTGAGATGCCTCCTTTCACAGTCTAGATGGGAGGGATAAATGCATGTCAGTAACTTTGGAGCGCTGCTACTCATCCAGAGAATGATCAGGGCAGGAACCCAGACATGACTGGACTGAACTGGCTCAAACAGCACATGCAGAAGGGGCAACCCAGAACTGCACCCTAAGCGGCTCTGAAGTCAGCTTGCTCTCAATGGATTAATGACCTCCCAAGGTCCTTCCAACACAGATTATTTTATGATCCCAGTCAATCTGCACATACATCAGGAGAGATGTTTGTATGTCAAAAATGGTAGGTATTTATAGTAAATTTGTCCCATGAAGAACAGAATGGGAATACAGACACTCCATACAATACAGGGTGGTATGGCCTTTGTATAGCTCATCTACTAAAGGGTTAGTAGCATTAGAAACTTCCCTGCAGAAAGATGAAATCCTGTCCCCAGTGAATATTGGTAGGAGAGCTATCAGAGCACTAAGAGAGTTTCTGCTTAGGGAGGAACTGTTATTTAGATGCTGTCTTGGAACTTGGAAGACCCAACATCTTTTGTCTTTGCAGCTACGAGTTTTCAGTCTGGCTGTTGGAGAGTTCCCCAGGGTACTACCCAGAAACACAGCCATGGTGTCTGAGCTGACTGGTACAGATTTACTATGTGCTTTCAACACCGTGCACGGGCAACAGCTCAGGAATGAAAGGCAGTATAGTCATGTCAGTGGAGCCTCATGCTCAGGTAAATTATTCCTTCCAGGCTACCAAATGATGCCAATGTGATTATACTGCTTCCAGTTCTAGATAGTATTTGCAGGTAAATCAAGTGTCTCTGCACAACAAGGTTTTGCGTTTGCAAAGACATACGCTAAATGTTCATGACTTTCAGGACTCTGGTCAAGTTTTTGGGTGATGAGTTAATCAAGTCAGTATAGCCAAAGACAGGTAAACGAAGACAGGTACCCAAAGCATACAAGATTTTGCCTAGAGAGCATAAGCATGGGTCCACAATTTGAAATAAATCATGGAACTGAGCTTAAGAAAGCATGCACCCTGGTGAAAAAAGAGCTCCCTGTTTTCTGAGGACTTACTTTGGTGATATGTGTAGTAGTTGTAGTGCTGGTGGTTTCAGATGTGATAGTCTGGGCACTCATCAATACACCTGGTTCGGAGTCAGCACCGGAATCCACCTAGGAACCAGAAGAGAAAACCAGTCATCAAAAAAAGTGCTTCAGAGCACAGGGAGACAAGAACTGGACTGTTAAACTTCCCTGTTTCTACAGTTCTTCATAAAGTGAGCATCTAATGGTAGGGAGATAACTGCTATTAGGGTGATCATGTGTCAGTATTTGTCTTCATCTGGAGGCTCCCCTTCACTTCTGGAAGGACAGATGAGAAGCTGGTGTTTTTAAATCTGTAGTTTTATCTAGAAAGGCCCTACACCAGAACATGAGAGTCACCCTCAGGTAAGTTATTCTGATGTACATCCTCCTCATGCCAATATTTAATACTTGAACAATTTAGAACAATTTACACTAAGGTATACACTTAAAAATGGGTAAAGAAACATGAGTTCCTTAAGGGCATATTAAATTAGACAGAATTTCTTACCTGAGAAGACTCGTAAGTAATGGTTTTTGTTTCTGTATGGACCACTGGCACTTCTTTTGTTGAAATTTCAAGGTTTTCCCCACCAGGAACACTGCTGAAACTGATAGTCTCAGTCTTCACAACTGGTGACTGTGTGAACAAAAAACAAGGAATTGGAATATGGATTTCTCAGAAGGTTTTTTTTTTTTTTGCTTGGGGAAAAGAAAGAACAACTAAAAAGTGTTCTGCATTTAACAAAAAAAAAAAGGAGAAAATTATCTTCATTACAGTGGTACATACATGTATATAATGCTGGCAACACTTCACACTTCCCTGGACTTCATGAAAACAAAGTTCAAAAACATTCTAAAAACTACAAGAGGCAATGGTCGCAACCTGAAAAATAGGAGATTGCCTCTGAACATCAGGAGACACCTTTTCACTGTGAGGGTGGCCGAGCACTGCCACAGGTTGCCCAGGGAGGTTGTGGAGACTCCCTTCTTGGAGATGTCCAGAAGAAGCTTTCTGGACATGGTCCTGGGCAGCAACTGACTCTGGGTGTCCCTGCTTGAGCAGCAGGGTTGGAGCAGATGAGCTCACGAGGGTCCTGCCAGCCTCAACTGTTCTGGGATTCTGTGATTCTGTGCTTTCTTAACATGACGAGAGAATGAACCCTGTTCAGGGTTAGTCTTCTGCCTTTGGAAAAAAACCCTCTGCAAACCAGCTCTTGAAATTCTGCTAATGGGTCTAAGGTAAGGAACCTGGGTTAAAACACTGTACACTTGTTCATAATTGTACCAAGCGTGGAAAAAAAAAAATCTATTTCCTGTCTTTGAGGACATATGAACTTTGCCAATCTGGACAGACTTTCCCAAAGACAATGCCAGCTGATCTTGTTATCTGTTGCATAAAATGCCACAAAATTCAGTATTTCTCTGTAGCGTGAAAAGCACTTTTACATAAAACATGCATGGTGTTTGGCTAATGATGGAAAGCAGCAACAAGCCTTGCACATGCCACGCAAGGAGGAAATAAGAGGAGAAACAAACTGCATGCTTCAAAGATGCAATCATACAAACTTGGCACACTTTACTTTCCATGACAGGAATTAACTTAGTCCACCATTGCCTATGTTCGCAATTCAGCACAGGCGTGAGTGATTTAATAACAAGTTACCTCAAAATGAGATTTTCTTTCCAAAGACTCTGAAAGTTGGACTGTTGTTCTGTGCTCCTCTGCTTGCTCACATGAAGCAGTGGCAGTGACTCCTTCCTGTTTGGTTAGGGCTTTCTCAGCCTCCATCCTTTTTTCCTCCTTCGCCCCCTCAGTCCCAGAAGAGCCCTCCTTCCCTTTCACGCCAGCAGCCACTGCGGATGCTGCCTCAGCCTGGGCATCCAGCGCAAGTCCAACCACTTTAGCAGGATCCCCGCCTGCATGCACCTCCATCCCATGTCTCTCCTTGACAACTACAGTCTCCTGTACAACCTTCTTCACTGTATCCTGATGTGGTTGAACTGCTTGCTTCATGTCACTGGAAGTTATCTCCTGAGATGTCGTTGTGTCTATTCTCTGCAGGGAAGGAGGAAAAGAACACTCAGCATCAGAAGGAGACAACACTATTTGCTGTAGCTCCTCAGCTTAATGTACTGTGAACATAAACTAAAAAATGGGTATTATATTTTGCCAATTTATTTCTCTCATGTTGCATGGATTTGTTCTCAGGATGTTATCAGTACAGTAGAAATGCAAAACAAAGCAAGAATCACAACTTTTAAAAGTGAAGAGAAATGTCAATGTCAGTGTTTTTCTCATTGGTATTTTTGTGGGAGTTTTATAAAGGCAAAATACAATACCCTGCACAATGACCAAAATAAAGTGAAATGAGAGGAAACCTGGTTTGTTTTTTTTTTCCTTTTTCAGTGAAGTTTCTGTTGTGATCTCTTGTAACAAAGGAAAAGGTACATGAATACATGCATTACTTATATAGTTCCAAATTGTGCAAAAAACCAGGAAACAACAGAAAAGCAAAAGTAATTGTTGTGTAGTTATAACACTGATGGAGGGAATCAAACGGCCACCTGAGCCCAGCTATGGGAAGTTGAAGTAACCCCTCCTATGAACTCAGTCGGTTTTCTGGCAGACTCTATTAGAGTGAAGATATCTGAACCATCCAAGGTTTTTTCACTGGTGGACTGTTTAGTCTAAATAGACAAAGAAATGTAGAGTCATACACAGAAGAAAGGCAGACCCACATGAACAGACATATTAATTGCCAAAACTGAAGGCAGAGACAGAGGAAAAGGAGAGAAGGTTGCAGGGGTACAGAGAAGTTGGAAACAGGAAAAGAATGGGAAAATAAATCAGAGCGAATTCATAATGGCTGTAGTAAGCAACAGTTTAAAAGCATAGTTGTTAGCATTGGCATTTTGCTGGTTCAAGCAAATCTTTTTTTTTTCCTTTTATTAACAAGCCACAGCAGCAATAGTACATTTCAGTAACACGGATCTTTAAATAAACCAGAAAGGTTGAAAGCCTTATATAATGTCTGTTTCAGACTGTGGAACAGATTCAAAGTATGAGAGAAAAAAAATAAGCTGGGTTGGCTGCTGTCAACACAAAGCCAGGCAGCAAGAGAACCAAAAGGTAGGGCGGTGTGAGGGGATTGCCTAAAAGAAGTCATGCTTTTATCTTTAAATCGTGGCATGAAGTCAAAGCCACTTGTTACCACCACTCTTGATGCAGACGACTCAGTAACATAGTGAGCAGTAGCAATGGTAAATGGTTGTTCTCTGGAATATCTCCACTCAGACAGGCTCTTATCTGTCCAGGCAAACGCCCCTGCTTTTACAGCTTCACTGCCAAGATGCTTCTCTGCTTTGCCAAGCTGTAAGCTTCCCAGTGTACCATGTAATTGCAAATCCTGGTCCATCTTTAGTGTCTTTTTCAAACTCTCCTCTTCAGGACTTTGCAACTGAGATTCTGCTTCCTTTATGGGTGTCAGAGAGTCGGACAGTTTTCTTTTTGTGCTCTGCATGTCGGATCCCCGCCTGGCTTTCTCATCAGTGACGGGCTTGAGAATTTCATACTTGGCCACTATTGGAATGATTTTCACAGATTCTTGCACTTCCCTTTCCATTTTTTGTGAAGTTTCTACTGAAGTTTGTACTGCTTTCTCGCCCTCTTTAGCTTTACTTGTCATGGTTACAATTTTCCCAGACATGGTATCATAGGACTTTCCTAGAGTGAACATTTTCTGCTTATTCTCCTCATTGGATTGTATTTCGCTTTCCAAGTCCTCAAAGCTCTGCATTAGAATGGTACTGGATTTTAACATCTCAGGTGGAAAGGCAGTTTTACCGCTCACAGTCACTACCTTGTATGCCAGATTTTTTTCCGATTCACCATCAACTACCTCAGAGGGTATTTTGTCTATAATAACCCAATCCTCAGTGCCCTATATTTGAGATATAAAAGCTAAATTAGAATATCTGAAGGTTTATCTGTACTTCAGGAACACTAAAGTATGAAGACTTCTAAGAAATCAATGCTGCCTCTTCTGAAAGCACATAACAACTTTTACCATTGTAGTTCTTAAAGCAGTTATCAAACAAACAAGCAGAATCACCTTAGGCATATGATTTCTTTGCCTACTGTCTCCCCTCAGAGGCCCATATAACGTGGACACAAAAAATATTTTTGCCACACTATGTTTGTATTCATTTTAAGTGGTATAGCATTTCAGGGCATGTTTTAAAATGATGATTGGACTCATCCTGGGGTTAAAAATCACATATCACAGAGGTTCATAATGCTACCGTAAAAGAAAAAAAAAATTACAAAAATAGGGCAAATAAACCCATTCAACTGTTCCCCGGTTGTCACAAACACACTGTTGATGAGGTTTTATAATAGTATGCATTTGTACGTAGCTGTAGCCTGCACTGAATTTCCTTGTTTTCATTAGAATAACTTCAACCCTCTTCAGGATTGTCTAAATGGAGCAGTACAACACAGTTAACTGTGTAAACTAAACATACTACTAAAGATTCTGAATGGAACTTAATTGCAGCATCTTTTTCCCTCCTCATGCAAATATGCTATGTGATTTTCTTTGACTATGCAATCAGCACCCAGCTATTTGACCTTAAGACCATAATTTCTGTATTTAACTAAACAAATGAGGTAGTTTAAAATCGAATGAATTAAAAATAACCTCTAGGGATGATGGGATACTTTTCTGGATAATGATTTGATGAGAAGTAACCAAAGTGCCAGCAGATTCTCCTTCCTGCAGCTTCTTCTCTATCACACTTGGCTAATAGAAAAACCAATAAAAATACAAAGTTCACCATCACTCGGCATAATCTAGATTCACTTGATAATAGAAAGGAAATTCATTCTAGTGACAGAAGTGCCCCATTCACCATAACGTTCTCAGTGAGGTTTATGCTGGAAATGCATGCACAACCACAAACAACATCCACAAACAGCACCGTGCAAGTAGATTTCTAACTAGCAGAGAAATTAGTCTCCATTAGGAAGACATAAGCTCTGGAGGGGACTCATTCCTCAGAATTTTGTCCCTGGATTACATCTCCATCTGAAACTTATGAAATAATAATAATAAAAAAAATATTAAAAAGGGAGGGCTTGGAACGGAACAAAAATAATAAAATAATAAATAATTGCCATCCTATTTGACTGCATTTCAAGAAAGTATTGTTTGTTTTTACCTGCATTTCAAGGAATGTAGTACCTCCCTTCTGCAAAAATATGAGTTTTTCTGATTTTTCTCTTTCTTCTTTGGTCTAATGTCAGGGGAATAAATTATTTTAGTAAGCGGAGGGTATAAAGTCCACTATACAGTAGCTCATCATATTTCTCTACACTAAATATTATTAACTGAATGGTAAATTAGGAAACAGAATTAAAGAGAATCATTTTACAGTAAAGAGGTTTCCAATAAGAAGTGAAATCAGTGCCTCTCTGTGGTGGATGCAAAGTCGTCACAAGCAAACCACTTGTGCAGTACAAAACCCACTAAAATGAGTAACACCTCGGTGTGGATGCACTGTGCTCCTTTCATCTCATATTGTTCATTTAACAGTGACTGATGCTGAGAACAGGTCCCTCCACCTTCACCCTGGATGAGGCTCTCAGTTCTGAGTTTGCAGCCCTTCCTGCTGAAGCAGGCACAAGATGTGCCCTGCAAAGATTTCAGTACTCCCTGCTGGTATAAGAGGCCTCAAGAGTCCTCCTCCTACACAGGAAGCTAACCATTGCTCTATTATCACTATAATGAGACACTGAACTCCTCCTCAGTTTTTTATCCCATCAGTGCCTTCTCAGTGCTGTGAGAATAGTATCTCTGCAACTTGACCAACTGGGAAAATTTTAAATGTTGGTAAGACTCCACTTCCTAAGCCTTTTGAGCCACCTTCTCAGCCAGCCACTGTTGCCATTTGGCCAGAGAAAGCAAGTCTCTACAGAACAAAATAGGTTTCTTGCTAAACCCTTTCTAGCCACTTCAGTGGCTATGTGATTTTCTTTGACTATGCAATCAGCACCCAGCTATTTGACCTTGCACTTAGCCACTTCAGTGGCTAGTGCACTTAATAGACATGCCAGTGGAAGTGTTATGACTGGCATGACAAAAGCCTATACTCAAGAAGAAAGGCAGAAATTTAAAGAAAGATATGAAACTAGAAAGAGGAAGGGGTAAAAGCTCATCTCCCCGACTGCGATGAGGTGCATAAAAGTGTTGGTTTGATCCAATCCAGGTCAGATTAAACATTGTCAAGGAGTTTGTTAATATGTTTGCTTTCATGTTCTGCAGCTATCGGCCACCATCATGGCAGATATTTAAAACCGTATTTTTCATAACTAAAGAAGAACGAAGTATCTCCTCTACTATTGTAACAAACCAAGTGGGTTTGCACATTTTGAAAAGGCATATTTTCCCTTCTGTTCTTGGGGTTTTTTTAAATGAAAGAGCTACAGGTAACAATACACTGAATACAATTTTAAAGTGGATATGCTAAATTAAATGTGTAACTTCTTTGACTAACAGAAGGCACTACCTAATGCAGTTCTATATGCTCTCTGCCCTGACTGCCTCTGCACTTCTTGGTAAATATCAAGGTGCTAAATTTGACCTATGGATGACTTCAGTTTTTTCCTGAAAAATTCCTCTCTCAGCAGGACATGTGAATTGAAACCACCCTGCTAAGTGGGACCAAAAAGGATGGCCACATGTTACCTACAGTAGGGGCCCATTTTTGCCAGAAGTCACCTCAGAGTTAGTCTCTGATAGTTCAAATCCTCTCTCAGTTTTCCACAGAAATGCCTTCATTTGGGTGAGGTTCTGTGAAATAGCTGTAGATTAGTTAGATACATTGCTTTTGAGCAAGTCATTTTCTACTAGTAAGATAAGAGATACCAGATAAGGATAATTCTTGCCCTTTTCCTTTCCAAAAGAATTGTTAAATTAGGATGTGTTTCCTCAGGGTGAAGCCTACATAACTGTGTAAGCCTTTGCTATTGCTTGTGTGTTTTAATTAAAAATTGTTATTACATTTCAAAAGTAATAAAGACATTACACAAACAGGGTGGTGCTATTTTAAGTTTGCTTCCTCTGCAATCTGATTCAGGCTCAGCTAGCTACCTGCTCCTTTTCATCCACTCCTTACATCTTTAGTATGTTAAATGCATCCTGTCCATTATATTTATAATTTTACTTTACAGTTTTCTTTCATGAAAGAAAACCCGTATTTTCAACTACAAGCAAACTAATCTGTTCTAGGGTCTATTATGATTCCTGAACAAGATGGTAGGAACAACACTACGACTCCTCTGTGCTCCCCACAAAAGGGAAGCTCTGGGTATTGAGTCCGCTTTTTTAGGTATTTTAATTCAACTTGATGGCCACACCAGTGCATGTCTGATGCCTGTATCAGCCACTGGTTAGATTGGTATAATGTGGGAGAGGAGGAGGTGACAGCCTTTTTCTTGGCAATATCCCTTTCCCTAAGTGGAGAAGCTGACACATGCTACCTGCGTGCCTCCACAGATTCCCTTCCCCAGAGAGTTGTGGGACTGCAACACCAACCTCTGAGGCTGAAGAGCAGAATAGCCTTTCCAGCCAATTTTTGCTGAGTTCCTTACAACATTACATCAGTGCTGTGGGCACAGAAGCAAACTGCACATCTTTGCAAAATGCAAAGACCACTTGCATTATTGGTCTGTAATGCTAAAACCAAGAGGTAACCATAAAGATGATTTCTGTGAGGCAGACACCAGATATCCATCCACAATAGAATAAAAAAAATGAACTTTCATGCAAACCACACGAGCTTGTTTCTTTTTTGCTCCACTGGATTTTAACCAAGATGCTGTCTTTTTTTTGAAGATCTATATATTTTACTGCAACATGAATGTTGCTACCCCTACATGTCATTATCTACCCACAAATTAAGTAAATGCCAGCTTTTAAATTCACAAGTTTCTTACAAACACTTCAAAGACTGCACAGTAATCAGGATTTTTTCACACATGCACACTGCATAGAAATGCAGACACTTAGCAATCTGCATTGGGTCTTCAATGGAACAGTATCCAGCAGACTGCAGAGACCCTTATGGAACTGGCCGAAGTGGTCTAATTATCATCATTATTTCTTCCCTGTCTTCAAAGACTGAGAGAGTTCTGCCCTTTGCTCTGTATTTTCTTGTCAAGCCAGGCACCATACCCCCATCTGTCTCACTACACTGCTTCTCCCAGTCAGTCACCATTATTTAAATTTTCTCTCCATCACTTTCACAGTTTCTTTCATGCATGGTTGGACTTCCTCAAGCTCACCGAAACTGTAACGACAGCTCAGAGAGACCCAATTCTGCCACACAGCTTATAGTGAATTTCATTCTCTAAATACATATATATTCTTATATATATACCATATATATATTTATATATATGTTGATAGTATCTGCTCTTCCTTGCATCTTCCTTGCATCTAGAGCTTCAGTCCTGAGGAAAGGGGATGCCTACAAGCAGAGAATAGCTTCTAACTACGGCCTCTAATCTACTGAGGGCTGCTATAAGTAAAAATGAATAGACAAATACACAATGAATCCTTTCAGCTCATGCTGACCTCTTCAGGCACTAGTGGTTCAATCATAGGAGCATCCTCCTGCCTTGCTGCAAGCCGAACGGGAGATGTGGAAAGCCTCTTCTCCCACTCATTAGACACAGTCGTTTCTGTGGAGGTTTCCAAGAAGGTGCGTTTCAACTCGCTTATATTGGTCTGATGTTTCATCAGATCTTCCTGGGTTTTGTCTAGGTCCTGGACAGTTTTAAAAGAATAGAGCAGTTTGTGATACATCCTAAGCCAACCAAATTTTAGAGCCAAAACACACAACTCGGTTAGTATAGAGGGAAGTAACAGCTCAGGGAGCCGGGGAGCACAGCACTAACACAACACTCTGTGAAAATGTGGCATTTTGAAAGATAACAGCATAGCATATCTCGTACAAGTGAGTATAAATACACTCTTAGAGAGCTTATCCATATCGCTATAATTTGCACCTGATCAGGAGGCTTCAAACAAACATACATATGCGCGTGGAGGCACACACATATACGCACACGCATATATCTGTATTTATAGTACAAGTTAGAGGAGTCATCATAATCTGAGAAAAAAAAATAATCTATTAGGAGGTGGGAGTACACAGTTCATGCATCATAGTGCAGATCCACAGTTTACCACTAAAACTAACACACATGTACGTACATGCACTGGTATATACCAATACCAACCTCTAACATAAGATTACTATGTTTGACATACACATTTTCACCCTGTATTCGCTTAATCAGACTATTCTGAAAGAAGTGAAAAAGAAAGGGAAAGGTAAGGGACACAGTATTGAAAGGATACAAAATGCTGTTTCTACACATTTCTTCACAGAGAACCGACAGTAACATGCTGAAAGAGGTGAACACCTCCACATTGATACCTGAGCAACATCTAGGCCTTTCGTTTCTGTACCTGTGCCTTTAGATCTCCGTCCTCCTCTTGATCCGACTGCCAGCATGAGAAAGATTGGAAAACAACACCTTACCCACTCATATCAATTAAGGCTTTATGGACATTGGTGAGAGGTACATACTGGGTTAAAATCCCATTTTCTCTACAATAAAGGCTTAAGGAGGAGTAGATGCACTGGTTTTGCACAGATTTTCTAACTCAGAGGAAACCTCCTCTTCTCAAATTTGTTATTTGTTAACAAAGTGTTATAAAACCCTTTCCTTTTATAAAAATTGCTACACTCCACATCCATAGATCTCTATTTATGGAGCAGCGCTTGCACCTTCTCACCAAGGTCATGGCTGGACTAGTACTGAATGGCAACAGTAGATTCTTTGGAATTCTTTAAATCCAGAGTTTACACATATGGTATCATCTGGGCAACAAGCAAAGCTTTGCATAAACTTGCCATGGGGAAACAACCCGCAACACTTTCTACAGAAGGAAGCACATTTTATTTGCTTGAAATGCTATTTTCCTAAGCTCTGCCTCTTCCTGTATTCCTATAATTTTATTTCATATTCAGCCTGTATATAATCTTTCAGGAGATAGGTCTGCAGTGGTGGTCATCTGGAATGACACAGACATCCCATCCCCTTCAGTGCATGTTTTCTAAAGTAATGCCATAAGGACTGCCCCAGCAACCCGGTTTCTGAGGGTGCAATTTTCAGGTGGCAAATATACCACACATTTTGAAAATCGGGTATCTGTAAGGAAAACTGAGGTTTGTTATATATTTCCCTCTAAAATAAAGATGGCAGCTACAGAGATTAACATACATTTTTAAGTAATAAAATGAACATTTTAAATGTCACAATTTTATGATTACATTTTACTTTCTGGAGGGTTAAAGGCCTGAAGCTATGGAGTGCAAGAGGCACTTCAAAGGATTTTGTACTCCTGACTCGTCTCAACAGAGTTTATGTTGTTGCCCTGTTTGAATTCTTTTAATGCCTGTGCTGATATTTTATCATCAATTTTTCATATAGTCCTAATTAGTCAAATGACTCATGGGAAAATCTGTTGATTACTTTATAACTCAGTTCAAATCTATTCTATTTACAGTCAAGGCTGAATTGTCCTGATATGTCATACGAAAAATTTTTCCTTGACAATAATTTTAACAGTCTCAAATATTAATGAGATCCTTCTGAAAAAATACAGTAGTGTTTGTGATAAGACTCTGTCTTCTAGCAGATGTCAGACCAAATTCAGCTCATGTTTGCAACTGCAACCATATTAATTATGAAAGCATTATATGCACTTCAGTGAAGTCACATAGGGTTGAATTTGTCTGTGCAGTCTATGTACTATGTCGTGGATATGAGGCTTCCCAGTGCAAGGAAAATATAAACATTTTATGTTCCTCCTCTGAAGACAATACCTAGACTAGTGGTGTCAATACGTGAAGACGCCATGTGAAATTAAATTCAAGGAAAAACTTAGGTGTTTATAATGTGGAAATACCCTTATTCAATAAATTTGAAAATTGCTTTTAACTGTTTTTTTCCCACTCTCTCACTCAGGTGGCAGAGTGTAAGCGCAGACAAACAAACAAAAAACCCCAGGGAACGATCTGACCAGCACGACCATTCAGGTGGGGCGCACCAGTGTGTGTGACACTGCCACTGCCCCACTATCCGCACAACGTGGAGGCCTTGCAGTTTCCAAACTAAACTCAGAAATAAGAGGAACCCGTAGGGAGCACTGAAAACTCAACTCCCCCAGCAAAGCTGTCCCACTCGCAGGCACACACATGCACACGCGCGCAGAAAGGGATCCTGAGCTGCTGGAACAGACATGCGGTTTAGCCCCGATGCCCAGGGTTGGGAAGAGACAAGGAAAAATGCTCTCCCCTGCCATAGCTGGGTGCCAGCGACTGTACAAACCTCAGTGGCAGTGGTCTCACCATCAGCCGCAGTATCCGTCTGCTCACTGTCAGTCTATTTGGTTAGACAAGTAACCGGGTCCCAAGAGGAAGGCAGGAATAAAGAATAAACCCAGCTCATCAGTACACGCGGCTCACACGGGGAACTGTTAAACTCAACATCCCTGTGAACTGCATTAGCATTGCTTTTCAAACAACGCACAAGTCAAAGAAGCAAAATAAAAATGCTATATTAGTAAACAGAACAGACTCAGAGGAAGACTCGAGGCGTACTGTACACAGTATATGGCTTTACTGGAACAAATTTATAAGCCATACAAAACATTACTGGAAAAGTGTTACTTGAATAGCAGATTTTTTTTTTCCTTAAGAAAGCCAGGTAGCTTTAAAAAAAAATGGGGGAAAAAAGCAGCTAATATTTTCTAAACAAACTTTTCCTCCCAATAACTTTTCAAAATAAAATTATTTAACAAATTTTTGTTCTAGCCAATATAAAGTGGTGGTTAAATTTTTATCCAGAGGGGGAAAAGATAATTAAAAAAAAAAAGGCTACTTTAACAGTCACCTGACTTTCAGCCCCTCATTTGTACAGAAGATTTTCTTGTCTCCACATTTATACACCATGAGGCTGTCTGCATTACCAAGGAGTTCAAATAACTATACCCCCAGCCCATCTACTGTCTGTCTGTGGAGTAGTGGTAAGGCTCAGATCCCACTTGGTTCCAATAAAGAGCAGCTGATAATTGTTAATAATAGTAAAAAGAAAGAAAACTGCCACTAAAAGAATAAAAAATATTTCTCATTTCATTTAAGAATATGGATGAAAGCAGGAGAAAAACAAAAGTAACTCCCCCCATCCCCCAAAACAATTACTAGGTATGAGTGATAAAGATGAAACAAAGCACAGCATTGCACAGACTGATCTATCCCTGCTTTGCTTGACACCATAAAGAACATTTTAGTGGAGAACGTAAGTGTCAGGATTTAATAGAGAGTGGAGTGCAGGTTATTACAGGCTGAGAAGAGAGTTCAAAAGATACTTTGCTGTTATCTAAGCATATGGAAAACTAGTAAGTAAAGTCCTCCCTGTTGCTCCAGACTGGCACATCCAAGTTGTTTCGATACCAGCGAGATCTCTGGGTTTGATTAGTGATTTTCTGTGGTCCTTACATAATCTAAAGTAACCCAGGCAGGTAATATAAAGCTAGGACAACACATCTCATGCTCAAATCTCATCAGTACGGACAAGAAAAAACCCATAACCTACTGGTGGATGGAGTATCAGTCTTAGCTTTGAATTTCCTCCAATCTTCTGTCATTTTCTGACAACTCCAATGTTTCATAAAACTGTTTTTTTGATATTTTTTTCATTGCTTTCTTTTCTATTATTCTTTCTTTTGAATAGTTTGTATTGTTTGTCTGACAGGCAGAAGAATAAAGAAGCATTTTGCACTATTTGATAAGTGCATGAATGCAAGTTACATGCAATTTTTCAAGCAATAACCACTCGTGAGACAGACTGCATCCATTTTTAAATGAAACTGTACTGTCAAAATAGTCTATTAGGCTAGTCCAATTGCTTTCACTAAAGTGTTAGAAAATTGTTTCTTTATTAGTGAAGGATCTCATAACTTTATAACACTATAAGCAATTGTAAAGGTACGGCAATAGAAAAGAAAATCTATGCATTGTCACTCCTATTTACAAAGAAAAAAAAGAAAGAGGAATTAATCAATCTAGACATTTAAAAAGAATTAAAATATTTGTGTCAAGACACAGTAACACAAGGCTGGCACATAAAGTTCATTTAAGAACTTGAAGTCAATAGAAATATTGGGTGCTAAGGTACAAACATGGAAGCTAATGAATTCTAAGGGGTGAGATTTTGTCTTTGATTGCACAGACTGAATCCAGATGCATCTCTCAAGGGACAACAAGCTCAACTATGTATGAGATTGGCTCAGGATACTGGCCTTAGCCTTCTGCATCTCTGTGTCCAGTCATTTGTGAATTGAAGGGGAAAAAAGAGGTTCCTATTATTTTACCATAAGAGCAATGAAATCCTAAATAAAGCATAAAATTTGCTTTATTGCAACATACATGTCTGCTAATAAGCCAATCAACAGCCATGGAGTTGAAGTCAGCATTGCTGAGTTACTTGAAATAAAGATTTGGGGTTATCAAAAAGCAGGGAATGGTGAATTAAGGCTGAGCAAGGCAGGCCTCCAGAGCGGAGAATAAGAAAGGTCAGGCTCAGCTCCAAGATGGGCTGTAGTACAGCTGCTGGTGGGGCTGGCGGACAGGCAAGGGATGGAATAGGACAGAAGGCAGTTATTTCCTGAGATGCTGCGCCTGCACCTCCCCTAACTTGCGATCATAATTGCTGTGATTTGTTTTGCCAATGTAATGCAGACATGCCTGAGTTTAAAACATATTCACTTTCATGCAATATTTTGAACAAGAAATACCCCGTGGATTAGGCACAAGTCTGTGTTGTCTGCCAGGGAGCACTGCCAGAGTAATCACCCTCAGAAAAGAGTGACACTGAAAAAGCCTATTTTATATTTTTTTATGCTCAATACTTCCTAACTTTGCTAACAAAAAGAAGTGCTCATTTCTGAAAGAGGAACAGACCAATATATTACATAAATACTGCCTCATTACTGCCTCTGGAGCTGGCACTATATTAATGCTGTTACTGCTATTAGATTAATCCAAGTGCAGAACTAATGTAAATTGAGACCTAAATGCTGTCTCAAAATGAGGACACAAAATGAGACAGCAGTGTTTTCGATGCCTTTTATCAGAAATTGCACATTATTTTTTAATTGTCAGGCATCACAGAGCCAAAAGCATCCAAACCCAATGTTTTCACAAGACAAATTGATGCAACTTTTGGCTTTCTATAAAAAGGAAATTAAATCCTGCACCCAATCTTACAAAACCAATAGTGGCAGATGACACAAATGTTTAGATGTGCAAGCTGATTTATTGAAGACAACTACTGCAATGGCATCGACAAGTGGCCAAGGCGGTTTTTTACAAGCGGCCAACTGGTCTATCGTTATCTGATCTGGGGCTTTTTTCTTTACATACAAAGCAAAACTGTACTTTTGTACTTGAAGACAAAGAGGAAAAAAGCAAATTGAACTCGTTATTTTATTCTGTCAACAAAGAATAACCAGGCACCAGCAAAAACTGAGATGCCATCTACTTTGTTACTTAAGCAGATTCTTTTCCTACTTCTGGATATATCATCACATCCACTGTTCCCAGAACTACTGCAGACTCCTACTGCAATTGGTTTATCTGCCCGTGATGACCCTGGTGGCTTGAGGCATCGGTTTTGGCAGTGCTAATCTAACATTGCAAATGTCAAGACAGCCCACATGGCACGCTCCCCAAACAGCTGCAGAACAGCTGTCCCAATCTGACCTCTCACTGATACACTGGATTTAACCATAGGAAAACAATTTAATATGCAGCAGAGATGGGATCAAGGCTGAAAATCGAGATCCAGGTTTTGCTGGACCAGAAAGCCTTTTCTGCAGATGGGCTACAGCTGATAGCCTTTTGCAAAAGGCTGAATCCATCTGGATTTTGAATATGCTGAAGTTGGTGAGGGTGCTCTTTACTGTTGGGTAGCTAGTTATATAAATAAATGTAGATACATATGCATATATATGCATGCTTCAGTAATTACGCAGAAAATGACACTTAATATGCACTATTTAGATAACTATTCTAACCCTAGAATAAATTGATAGAGGGAAGAAAAATGTCTGGGTTGGTTGAGATACAAAACTCCAGAGCTGATCTGTGACAATTTATTTAGTGCAAGTGACTTTACACCAGCTCACACAGTTCAAACCAAGCCACTTCCACACAGTGTTGTGCCTAACCCTGGGCCCCAAGCTGCACTCCCAGCATGAGAAAAAAAATAAAAAAAAGAAGAAAAAAATAAACAACAACCCCCAAACCAAAAAAAAAACCCCTTCTAACATATCAGCACAGACAGAAATGAGGCTCTGAAAGTAGGACCACTATTGCAGCAATCTAACACTGGTTAGGACTGAAGCACTGAACACGAAAAAGAGTGTGTTCGATGCCGAGGTACACACCTCTTCCTCTGAACTGTCACTCAGGTCATTGGCAAGTGAGGCACTCAAGGAGGCCGCCTTGGGCTCCAGGTAGCAGAGGCACATAGCCAGAGGAAAGGAGAGAGTGAGGGCGTATGGCACTGAGAAAGAGGCAGAGAGCAGAAAGAAAAAAATGAAGAGGAAACAAGGCACGAGGGAGGGGGAGCGGATGGGGAGGTAATGCTGCACGCTGGCAGGCAGGAAGTTGGTTTCGGAGAGGTTAGGGAGTGACAGGTAGCCATCATCATCCAGGAGGGAAGGAAATGACTCTGGAAGTTGCAAGGAGAAGGAAAACAGCGTTCTGCCCTTGCCAGCTTTTTGCTTGTAGCCGAAAGCCATGTCTTGCTCGGCGGAGCAAACTCGCCCCTTTCTGTCAGAGTCTGGCTCCGACTCGCTGTGTTCTGGGGCGCTCTCTTTGGGCGCCTCACAGCCTAAGGACTTTGTCCGAGCTCTCTCCTTGCATCTCCTGCGAAGCTTTGCTGAAGATACATGGGGGCCAGGTTGAGAGGATGGCGAGGGGTGGTGGGAGTCAGTGCCAAGCACAGATGTCTGGTGACAGAGAAAGAGCAGCAAACAAGGCGCAAAAGCAAAAGGACAAAAAGAAAACTGTAATTAGTTAATTTTCTTCCGTGATGATAAATAATATATATTATATATATAAAATTATAAACAGTATTTTAATACCACAGCTTTCCACTGAATTAAACGGTGCATGTTCCTATGCCACACACTACAGGTATTAGTGATTTGAGATTCCAGCTTACAAAAGGCAACTTCTTGATTCAACGTTTGCCTAGTCCTCTCTGCAGCACAGGATTTACTTAAAGGCCTCCACGGCCACATGTGGACTTCTGGGTTCTGCCAATTTCCACTTACTGTAAGACTGGCTTCTGATCATAAGGAGTTTTCAACATGAAGTACATGGAGAGCAACAAAGAAAGAAGGGAATGTATTTCTAACACCAACACTGCTTGTGACAGCATTCCTGCAGTCAGGAAGAGACCCAGTGGGGGCCAAAATTTTCCCATCTATGTCTTGGACAACCTCAGCAGTAATAATTAAAACTCCAAGAATTCTGAAACTCTACATGCCCAAATTCCTCCACTGCAATATTAAAAAAAAAAAAACAAAACCAAAACCATCTAGGTCCTAAACCTAACTAAAACACATTCTGGTTTGGGAGGGGGGCATAAAAATCCATATGTTAACTGCTACTGATGGAAGAAAAACTCACTTGATACCCACCCTAGCAGCCAGGTCCTCAGTACAGCCCCCACCGCCACTCAGGCTGGCCTCTCCTGGGCATCCCCACAGCCCTGCCCTCAACCCCTGCCCACCGTGAGCGGGAGCAGGCACAGCTGGGAACTCACCCCCTCCCAGCCATGCACCCTGTCATCCCTCCATGCTGCACGCCACCGGTGGCACATCGAAAGAAGGGAGCTGAGGTGTGTGGCTAGGCAGGCCCCATGTTCTCTCACAGGGGATCTGAAGGGGGGCTGACCAGAGAGAGGTCTGTGCCCCACACAGCCACATCTCCTCATAGTCAAAATGTGACCCTCTACCTACAGGGAAGAGATAAAAATGCACCCAATGCTTTTGCTACAAATTTTATCCCAATGCAAAGAATACTGGCTACCAACAAGCAGGAGTTACTTTGGTATGCCACTTGTAGGGTATTCAAATGGTCTTTCAGGTCATTTGAGGACAAAAAATTGGTAGGAGAAGGGAGGTGATTCAGCAGGAATGGAGACTGTCATTTCACAAGCTCCCTGTGGGCAGCCACAACTGCTTTTTAGAAGGACAACAACCACTATTATCACCAAAATGCATATCCCAGTACAACACATCTGACACAATGTTGATGGATTTGAGAAGTTTTGGCCAAAGTCCACCAGGTGCACTTAGCTGAAGTGGCACACTGGCTCCATGACCAAACCCTAAGTGCCTGAGCTGCTCCATCCATGGTGCATCTCCCCAAGGAGCTATAAAAGCCATTTCAACTGCACTGCCACTCCAGACTCCTAAAAGCAAAATGTCTTCAAAGCCAAAAACAGCATTTTCCTCTTTAAGATGGTGTCAAATTGGAGGCAACAAGGAGGGATCCAAGTTTTAGACAGAGGCTGTATCAATGCTAGCTACTAAACCCAATCTTTACCAGGTATAGTAATGGTAGAAATGGGATTTAAGCCAAGTAATTACACGGTAGAACTCCTTTCCCTCCTCTTAATATTTTGCATCTCTCTCTTCTCTAATAATCCATCAGTTCAGGCAATCTGTATGCTCAAATTAAGCAATCAAAACCAAGTCTAGCTTCAAACTGCTTACAGGTGTCTTTATGTGTTTAATGTGGTAAGCTCAAGTCAAAATTTAATGCCTTATGTGAGCTAAATACACAGAACTTCTCTTTATATTCTAAAGGCAAAAAAAGCCAAAGTAAATGTATTCTTTGCTAATACAGACTATTCACTTACTGACATCTTCGCAGTGTTAATATTTAGAATAACTTCTGGTACTTAAACACACATGGATAAAACAAAGGCAAAATGTCTTAATGGAAAAGTTGAAAACCTACCTATACGATTCATATACCCTTACACAGGAATTTGATTTCAAGCTTGTTTTGTGTTTCTTGAAGCCCTATTCTCTTTATGATGAATGACAAAGTTGTTGGCAGGTCGGTGTGGAAGCAGGACTAAGATCTCTATAGGCTTACAGAACTGAAGCTCTATTAATGGCTGGTTTAAACAGAACCCACCTCTTGAGTGGGCTGTAAAAATTAATAATTTCTGCATAATTAAGTTCCATCAAAATAGTCTCTTAAAATACCTTTGACTATTCCTAGCTATATAAGGATTGACTGAAATTTACAAACATTTGGAACAGAACTAGCTTCTATTGGATGTTTTCTGCATATTTGATTTTCTTTGGTCTTTCCCCAAGCAGAAACTAATAGAGTTCCAAGAAGACCCCAGCTAAATTTTGTAGAGATTATCTTTTTAATGCTACAATTACAGCATACACTTTCAAAAGAAAATCTTTTCTCATTTGCAATTTTCAGTAATTCAATTTGTTTCTGATTTTTGGTACCACAATTGCAACTCTTTTTGAGAACTTGATCCTTTACTTACGTAACTCATTGTTGCCTTATATGATAAAGCTAGAAGTTCAGATTTTAACATTTGCATGCGTGGGTATAAAGGTTTTTCTTCCTAAATGATGAGGGTAAACCTTATTTGTTTAGCAAGTGCATTACACAGTACACTTTTTGAACATGATTGTACTGTATTTCTCTTCACTGTCAATCTCTAGTGACTGTTTTCTCTGTCCTCCTGTTTGATGTACCCCATATTAAAAACTGATTAGATATTATGCACAACCATGTGCGTATGTGTATGTGGTGGTGGTGGGATTGGAGATGATGAGCTGTGACTCAAGTTTAACAACTAAGAAGAGAACCATCAATGAAAACTGCTTTCTTCAACACAAAACTTCAAACAAGGGAAGCAAATGCTTTTGTAAGCCAGGAAAAGAAAGCTTATATTAAAGCAGATTAATACCCAGAACTTAATAGAGAAAAAAATGCCCATTGAAATTCATGCAAGGAAACAGAGTGCTATGGCAAGTATAAGAGAAAAATACAATAGTTTAAAGCATAGAGCTACATACAAGAATGCAGAACTGTTTTGTTGCCTTGTCAAAATATAAAAAACATTATGGCCATACTAAAGTCAAAATACAATGGAAGACCAAAGGACCAAACATGCACTGCCAGGTTACTTTTGGGAGCTCTTGAATACTATGTAAAAAACACCGGGTTGACTGTTAAACAGATTTAAAAAAGCAGTCCAAGGCAGGAACTAATTTTTACAACATCCTATGAAAACTGAAAGGACTACAGAAACACTGATTTAAGACATATATACATAGTATATTTCTTTTCATGGAACTTGTTTTATCTCCTCCCTCCCTCCCTAAAAATTCTGTGTTTCTCCAAGTACTCTCCAGGCAGCTCTGTTGAATACAAAACCCTGAAAACTCTACCTTGGTGTCATGACGTATTGCTGAAATTGGGGTGACTTCCTCTGCTCTCTTCTTTTTGCCCTCTTCATCATCTTTCTCCTCTTCTGTCTTTTTCTCTGGAGTCACAGTGGTTATCAAGTTGGTCTGAGAGATGCCCTTTGTTGTGGCGTACTGGCCAGTACCAACCTCTGCAGCAGACACAGAATCCTTCATGTACATTTCATGGTTTTCATTCACTGATGCTAAAAGCAAATATTTAAAGAGGGAAAGTCTGAAATAGCTTTTGCTGAGAAGCTGCATAAAATTAAAAAAGCTGGTTTAGAAAAACATTTGAGATAATGCTGAAAACACAAATATGTCATGTTTCAGAAAACCAGAAGCATTTAAATAAATCATTTACTTAAAATAAAGCTCGTAGCTTTTATATGCATAAACAGATTTTATGGATGTGTAGTGTGATGTGTACAGGATGATGTGTACAGTAATGTACACATTACTGTAGCTAATGTGTGCATTACACAGTTGTTAAATGTTAGCAAGCCATTTAAAGTACTACTGTAGTAAAACACTAGAAAAAAAATTCAATGCATTGCCACAGTTATCAGGCAGGAAACATAAGGAGAACCGGCTATGACATCAGCCATGGGGGTGGAAGAGATGTTTTTTTTAAATCTGTCAGAATATAACAATGCAGATCAAATGCACAGTTAGTAAGGTGCTGCATTATAGAAAATGACAATATTCATGTAACACAGGCATAATACCTGAGAAAAAATGAAATGTGATCCTTGTATTACTGAGTACTAAAGTCTGCCAGTTAGGTGAGCTCATTATCCTAAAAAATTCTGAGAAGCGATATCATTCAATTCAGTGGACCAAACCAGAATATTTTAGGATGCAAGTCTTCAATAATTCAGCAAACTTAGATATATATAAATAATTTTGAAATAAATGTACATTTATACATAGAATGTAATAAAAACTTTGACAGACCCTGCTCTTGAATATTGTGTAACTAATTTCTAAGCCAATAAGATTATTCAAATTTATGAAGTTCCTTGCATCTGTAACAAATGACAGCCTGGATCACAGTATAATCACAGGGCAGAATGTTACAGCCACATCTGCATCATAGTAACGATGCTGGTAAAGAAACCGTAAGCATTGATTAAAAAAACACCTCTTTCCCCCATCACAAAATCCCTGCAGAGTCTAACAAATGCTGGGAAAAGCATTTCAGGTATCTTGTCTCTTGGGAATGCGCTTAGGAGGTGGGAGAAAGCAAAGGGAATAGAGGGAGACATCTTGCTTAGATGTTACAAACAAAATAACGCAGAAGGATAATTTCTGCTTTGAAACACATGCACAGCAATCAGGTCACCAGTTGCTTGGTAACGAGCAAGAAGCGCATCAGTATTAGAAGATTCCAAAATAATTAATGACAAGTAGCACCTTTAGGGGGAGAGAAAAAGGACTGTCACTTGTACTTTTAAATCAAAGCTTCTCTCCCTCCCCACCATCAACTATACTCATTGCGATTTATGATATTCTGCAGGAGAATTCACCTTTTTTTCAATCTGTAATGATTCTGAATTTAGTCTTGGTCTTTTTTCTAAAAAAATAAGTTGCAAAACTACAACCCCTTTTTACTCAACAGCTGATAACAGTAACAGCTGATGGAAGTAGCTGATACTCTGAAACACATGTTGATTTAACGCAAGCAAGCAGCAGAACCTTGACCTCCACAAACCAAGGATAAAGAGAGAAAGGACATGCTTTTAAGCTGCGTGTGTTACTCTGTCTCATACCTTCAAAAGTAATGTACAAAAAAAGTCTTTTAGAGCTCATCCGACTAGGACATGAGGTAATTGGAAGCAAGTGTTATTACTCAAGAGAAATAATTAATTTCTGAATTGTATCAAGCTTAAGTCAAAACCTCCATAGGAAAAAAAGATAGATTCAACCAAAACCCAAAGAGTCACTCATGCAAACCCAGAAAAAGTGTTGACGCCTGAATTTCTTGGGCAGACAGGTCCAGTCATCCTGTTGCTCCCCAAAGCAGGGAAATGGTCTACAGGTGTGAGACGAAGGAGAGAAGTTCTGTGATGAGTGGGCTCCCAAGGACATCCTCTAGGGAAACACTTTGTAAGGACTACAGCAGTACATTTATCATGGAATTTCTCTGCATCGTCCCCTACCCCTACACTGAATGTGCAGGTACTCACAGCCTCTACTCAGCTGAAGCTCAAGGAGATGATATGACAAGAGGTTCATATTTAACCTAGAGCAGTGACCAGTGCAACAATAGCTTTTGACAAAGTCAGCTGAGAGGACCTTACCACCATCTAGGCTGCGAGACATGGTGTAACGTTTACTAGAAGACCGCTCAAAGTAAGGTGCAGGACGGTCTATGAGGGCACTGGCTCTTCTCGTCTGGGCCTGCGTCCGACCGCTGTAGCGAAACTTGGAGCCCAGCGTAAGGAACTTCTTTGGAGGCGCTTCAGGCAGCAGGAGCCTAAAACACACCAAGCAGTACACCTGTTACTCCCCCTCCTCCAAAATCAGTCCACTCTTTCTGCAGAGGAGAGAAGACGACTGCTGGGTATCACTCTCCATCGTAACCTGTGCCTCATAGGTCTGCAGCTAAAAGGGAATCAAAGGATTGCCCCTCATACAGCATGACAAAACCATTTAGCTAATGCATTTGAAGATTTGAGTTCTTCCTAACAGTCAAGAATCACTCAGCTCCTTCCTGCTTGAAAATCAGATTTATTATCTTCTAATCACCAAAACTAAATACAAGGTGTTCCTTGTACCAGGAACCCTCATTGTGCTGAAATACTTTTACTTCAAATTTAACATGGTGCTGCTATGCTGAGGATAGGGCCAGAACAGATTTCCAGTGAATGCCAGGCAGTACTCATTCACAGGGTTGCAGACATTTTTCAGGTTAGAGCTCTCCCACCCTCTGTATTTTGGCCACGGGAGCTGGTTGAAGAAGCCATTCTCCTGCTACAGAGTTTATGCTTCAGACATTGATTTTTCATTAAAAAGCAGAAAATACACCAAAAATGCACACCATATCTCTTTAGATCTTTTGCTGCTAAGACTGCATTTCATACGAACATACAGACAGCCTGAACTAACAGTTTTAGGAAAGGAGAGAAATTCTTCAGTCCTCCCAAACATCCGCCAGAGGGGGTTTTTAAGCACCAAACACCCTGCCAAGTTGTTGAAAATCTCACTCTTTTGGGTTTCCTTTGTTAAGTATCTCTGATGACTATCTTAGCACAAACTGATTACAGCATTTATTCCACTATCCCAAACTTTTCTTGGGTCTTCTTAGAAGTCAAAAAATAGCTGCAAAATTCCACAGTAATCCAAAAATTACAGCTATGGATTGGGTATTTTAGGTGACTAAAAAATAAACTACCTACTACTGTCTGTACTTTCATATGTAATTAAATAAAAATATCCTTTTTCTTTTTAGATTCTTACCCACATCCCCCAGCAATCTTCCATGTAAGTTGTTCTCCCTATGCAAGTTTATGTGCAGAAGAGCAGCAGTCCTTCATCCTTTTAATTATAGTCGCTGATAATACCACGGCACAGATAAAGCAAAATGATTAATTAGGACCATATGGTGATTTTTAAGCAGTATCTTTCTAAAATAGTATGAATAATTTGGGAGAAACATTTCAAATTTTGAAGAAGCAACAACCTTCCCTTGTCTGCTCAGAGGTACCTCATAATCAAAAAGACAATTTGATTCAAAAGGTTTTGTCTCTGCTGACAAAATTGATCTTTTCTGTTGCGTTTTATATCACACCTTTAGGAAAAGAAATCAACATACCTGAAAAATGTATGGTGTTCAACACACACTTTCCATAAGCGCTTTGCAGCACGATGATTTGGCAACTTAAACCCAATAGTGCTTTCAAACTGCTCAAACTAGGTAGGAAAAAAGAATAAGGACGTTTTTGATGCTGTGCATCTATTTTTAGACAGTGTACACAGGTTCATCTTCATTTCCTCTGTCTGTATCATCTCATTGCAAGGGTGAACATATATGCTCATGTATATAACCACATATATTCTACAGATTACTGTCTGGGAAAGAAGCTGAGTGATAATAAGTGGCAACTTTTGAGGATCATTTTTGTGGGAAAACACTGGTAATGAGCAGGAGGTTTTTTATAGTGACAGTAATGTCTTATACCCCACAGTAACAAAGAGATCAGTTAAGACTTGGAAGACTTCTGAGAAAAACATCACTAAGTTTTTTAACCCTGTTGATTTAATTTCACCAGTTTAAACTACAGTGGGAAGCCTGGTAATATCTGGAGGGGAGCAACAGTCCCTAGGGACTGATTTGGCCTCACATAGCCTTAGACTAAGGAGATTTATAGTGAAAGAACTACAGTTAGTAAATCACAGTGGTTATAGCTAATTTATCTGCTGAGGAGGATGAGGCAAAGACAGGTAATTGAAAAGAGTTGTCTGGGGATACTAAGACACCTTTTTAGATTGTGCTGCAAATTTTTATATTTCAGATGCAGAAGCTGTTCCAGCTACAACTACTATAACATGATGATGGCTACATGCAGATATCTGAGTAGGTGAAACAGAGTTGCTGTGATGGTGGAAAGGTAGGCAGAAGGGCACTTGTAAGGAAGCCTGGTTCCCTATGGAAGCTGATAGAGAAACAAGGCAGGAAACAGCAAAATAATAAAGATGACACATGGGATGGTGAATCACATTATCATCAAATGTAATTTGGAAAGAGGCTGCATTGATTATTTTATATATGGAACCATGACCTGGTCACAGGACACTATATACTAAGGCCAGCAGAGCATTAGTGGTGGAGAACTTCAGCGCAGGCGCTGGGAACATCAGTGGCTGTTCATTTGTTTTTTTTAAATCACTCAAGACTGGGAATTTGGTTACTAAAACTGTGTCTGCTGATAGGCAGGAGATGTAGTTTTGTGGATTTTAGTTTAGGACTCTAAAAGAGGCTGAGGTTCAGGGGTGGGGGACCTCAGCAGATTTCCCAGGTCAATGATGAATCATTGGCTCAGGACCCGTCTGCCACGCTGCATTAAGGGATAAATGCCAGCCTTCATCTAGGTGATTTCTGTCCTGGTATACAGCCCCACACTCTAAACGGATATGGGGTTTTCATGTATCACAGATCATTTATTGTACCAGCATTTAAAATGGAAATACTCCTTCACCTGTAATGATCCTGAACTTCTGGGATTTTTCCTAAAAGTAATCATCTTATAGGCCAGGCTGGATGGCGCTTTGAACAACCTGGTCTAGTGGAAGGTGTCCCTGCCCACGGCAGGGTGGTTGGAACTAGATGATCGTTAAGGTCCCTTCCAACCCAAACCATTCCATGATTCTATGATTTCTGGGTGAGCGCATGCTCGGCCCGTGAGCTCGGTATTTGCTACGCATCCGGCTGAGCCACGAGAGGGCACTCGCTGTACGAGGTTTCACATCCCCTTCTCCAGAGCCAGAAGACAGGCTCCGGTGGGCCTGGGAGGGCTAATGTGTTGAGGTTACCAAAAATGCTGAATGACGGATGCTTGACTCTGTTTTACCAGTCACTGGATCTCTGCTCCCACTCTAAGTGTACTAGTCTGATATGTTTATGAAGTTTGGTATGGCCTGTCTACATCTCTTGGTAAGATAAATAGATGCCAATTTAATATACAACATGACAGAGGATAACAAGCTCTCCACGAATAAGAAAGATGTTACTTAAATTCCCAAAGTATTCATAACAGGGATGAGCTTTTTACGTGCAGATGGCCATATTTATTCTTTATGTTAGTTCATGGATGTAAACATAAAAATACCAAAGAAGTTTTTTTTAACCAGTATTTTAAAGAAAGTATGTACCTTATCTTTCCTAAGAAAATCAGCATAAATTAAAAAAATATAAATGGAGAGGAATATTCAAGGCTTGTAAGACATGAAAAATCAACAAATCAATGAGAACTCAGTTCTTTTCAAGAGGTTCATTCACTAAAGAGTATCAGGATGCCCTTACCTCCCCTGGTCGGATTTTTATGTAGAAGTTGTTCCTCTTGTAGGAAATTTTCAGAACCTTTGGCCAGGCAAATCTATTTATTCTGAGTCTGTCTCGATATATTAAAAGTCCACTTGCACAGACTCCTAGCATGATTTCCACTCCTTCGGAATCCTGGAAAAGCAAGCAATGCACTTTGTTGAGTATTCCTATCCTTGCATCCTACAGCACTACAGATTCCTGTATCCTGTGTTTCTATCTGAGCTATGTCTTTTTAATGCATCAGCTGTAGTGACCTGATTTCTGAGTGCTACCCTACTCACTGAATGCATTCATGCAAGTAATAGTAAGGTTGGGCAGGGTGAAACAAACTGAGGGCTGCCAATGTTTCCTTATATTTTAGAAAGACTCCAAAAACGGGAGGGAAATTTTGGATGTTATTAAAAGAATTGTGTCAGCCATATATCAAAATTTTATTAGCATAATAAAAAAGGGTTATTAGCATAAATACCAGATCGAAAGTAAGTAGGACAGCATAAAAATTTACATCTCCTGGTATCACTCATCTCCATGACTAAATCTGGTAAATCCCTAGAAAGGATTTTCTTCTGTAGTTTGCTCATCTTGGCTTTAGTAGGTTTGCTAGCTTCTTTAACACTGTTGTGTGTATGCTCAGTAATTTCACTTTGAAATGCCCAGTGGGCAGAAAGTTGGGCATTTGGACCAGAAAAGATTCTTTTTTAGAAGTTTGGGGCTGTGCCTATGCTATAACCTGCATTTGACAGGGAAGATGTAGGTCAAACACATTAGTACTACAGAAGATTTGTCCACAATCTTATTAGAATATACCCATAAATATGTATTTTTAAAATAAGAAATATACATTTTTCTTTCCTTTAGAACTCTTCAAATAGTCTAAACCAAATCTTCACTGGCTTCTATTACTGTTGTTTTTATTTTGCTAAGCACTAGTAGTGCTGGAGAAAACAAAAATCCATCTTAAAGCACTGACTGCACTAAAGCACTTGAGGAATTATTTTAAAACAACTTAAAGTCACAAAAACCTGACAGCAGAAGCTATGAAGATGTCAGTCTATGATAATCATGAAATGAATTCATAATTTTCATCTGGTTTTCCCAACCAGCCATCTTTTAAGCACATGATGAAAATCTGATTACATTTTAAAATGAACACAAAGGTACACATGGTCAGTCATGATGAAAAGATTATGGCACAGCTTGAAATAATAATAGAAAAAAAAAAAAGGTTTAAAAATCACAACATAGAAATAGTGCCACAAAGTCACTCCAGTGTTAGAGAATACACCAACAGAGGATAAGTGTTCCAACAATGATAGTATCATAACCTAAAACCAGATTTTTCCTAAATAAAGCACTTGTGTGATAATACTGTCAAGTACTGCAGAAGAGACAAAGCTAATTTTTTTCAGTACTTCGGTTTCATTTTCCTAAGCAAAGAGTAACGCCGAAATACAGTGACCAGATTCTAAAAAAGAAAGTCTCATTGCCAGTAATCCCACTGCCTGGTGAATGCCAGAAATGCCTGTGTGCCCATACATGGCACATAGCTGCAGGTGCAAGGGGCTCCTTCTTTTGATATGCTTTCTCAAAAACTTTTTGAGAAATGCCTTCCTCCCTTTTCTCCACCTTCACCACGGATCTACATCTGTTCAAGCCTTCTCTCTTACTTGTCGGTGTCAGAGACTGGTTTTCAATGTGATACTACAGGTAAAATGAAACTCAGTAAAAGAATTTGGTTTTTTTTTTCAGGAGAGATGTGGTTACATGGAACAGAAAACTGTGACATCTGAAGCATGAAATGTTGAGCTGCACATCCCTGCAGCTCCGCATACAAACTGGGGGCTACCTCAGAATGGTGTTAGCCCAGAGGATAAATCTGTCTATTTTAACATATTTTTTATCGCAGCCTTGCACTGGATAACTGAGAACTAGTTTTAACAGCAGCTGGTGAGTCCAGCATCTGTCTAACACCTAATATATTGGCACAGCCTTAATGAATTGACATTTACATGAAGACATTTGCCACAGCGTGACTTCCAGAAGGCATCCACAGAGATGCTTGTCCCCTAGCCTGACACTACCAGATCTCGCTGGCACACCTAATTAAAACTAAACATGACTTCTCATGCAGTCTACCTTTTCCACCTCCAGCTCAGTTTCCAGGATTACTGTTGGATTTCCAGACACAATTTGGTTACCACTGTAGCTTTTTTAAATTAAGAGAATCAGTTCAGAGAGAGATTGGCTTGTCTACCAACTTCTCTTGCTCTGAGTCTTTCCATTTGAAAAAAAAAAAAAAAAGAATAGGAAACCAGGATACTAGGGTTTTTTTCAGAAAAGAATAAATAAAATGGTTATCTTAGAATATCCTATCTTAAACTTCACAGCCTTTCTCCAATATTCTGTAAATAATACTTAATGCTATGTTATGTTATTTTCAGTAACAAAGCCTGAACAGGAAAAATTTAGAACAGAAATCCACTTTGTTGTTGGTTTATGGGTATCTTTTTATTGGAAGAAAGCTAACAAGTGACATTTGCCTATCCATTTCTCTCTGCTCTGAGTGTGCCTCAAGATTTTGTGCCTATCTGCAAGACACAGGGAAGGCAGTAGACTGCTGCCCATTGAGCTGTACTCAGATTTTTCATTTTCATTGAAGGCAATAAACAGAACACAAAAGATTGCCTTGAATTCTCTAACATACATGCACAGCTCCTATGAAATGCCCCAGGGACACAGTTGCAGGCTCTTTCAAGATCCAAGCTGCAAATTTATCTCAGTTCTTGAAAGGATCTGCTGCAGTGCAAAAACAGGCTCACAATAATTTGACCTTTACAGAAAATGCAGTGCTCTCCACAGGGCAGAATTCTTTGGTTCAATACTCATTTGCCAAGGATGCTTGCTAACCTCAAAAATGTTTAAATCCATTAGTCTTTCTTTGAAGAGTGAAAAAAAAATAGTAATTATTTATTTGGGAAAAAAACCCAACCCAAACACAAAAGTCAGACAACCAACACAAGGCTAGTAGCTGGCTCTCTCAAGCCACAATAAGAATGACCACGTTTTATTCATAACTTAACCTGCTGATGATTAGAGAATCTACTTGATCATGGGAGAATGTTTCCAGAAGAATTACTGCCCTTTCTGTCAAGCGCGATGACCACACTTCAGAAGAGAGACAAGATGCTGTCTCCCCATTACCATCAATCTGATTAGGTTTCCAGCCCAGCTAAATAACTGTTTGTAAGTTCTCTGCAGCATTAGAAATTATCTGCTTATCTAGTTAAGATAGCATAGTTGGCCTTATTAAATTGAAAAATGTAGCTGAATGAAATGACAACTGATCACTCTCTGGACAGCTTCTAATATCCTTCCTCATTACTACATCCATTCAATATTTTCCCCAAGGATTTGGTTGTTTAATCAACATGAAAGTTGATGTGCTTTGAATCTACAGGCTAAATTATGTTACAGTTACAAGATATATTTATGCTTATCCCATGAGTCACCTTTCCTCATGCTGACACATGATTTATCCCAAAAAAACTCCCATCTCAAAAATACAAGAAAGAATAAATCAGGGAGTCCATGCAGATTAAAGTACCATGCCACAGGAGAAATGTGACCCATGAAAGAACCGAAGTACCTACCTTGGCATGATGGAGATCTACTCCATACATTGATAGTTTTTTGGCATTCTCCAGGAAATGCATCTCAGCTTCTGCAGGTGTCATTCCCCTGAGGAAATGCAACCAGTTCTAGCATAAATGTTAAGGAAATAAATCCAAAACAAAATCCAGCAGCTGGAAAACATTTTCAGCCTGTCAGAAGTACAGCCATACCCCTTAGGCAGCTGGGTACCTACCAGAGTCAAAGATCTGATGCAGACCCTGTTAACTTTCACATTGCAAAGCTCTTCTCTATCCAAAGACACAGAGAGGAGTCTTATCCGAAAAATATTAAGTATACTGCAGCAGATTTTAATATCTCCTGATGCACCAGGATGGAAGCAGGCTAGAGCTCACATTGCTGCCCTCTGCTTACCTGTGGCTCTTGTGCAGCTCAATCACTTTGTCCTCCAGCTCTTTAGTGTGATTCGGGGCAAAGCGAAATTCGCTGATGTAGTCGCTGCCGTATTCATCCGGGTCGTAGTCACCGAGCTCCGACTGCACAGTGTAAGAGCCCAGCAGGGCCAGTGTGACGAATGAGCAGGGCAGCCGACCCGACACAATGTCATCTCTCAGCTGCAAGCAGAGGTAGTACCTGCAACAGAGCACCAACGTGGCTCAGACAGTGCTCCTTCACCTTTGCCCTCAGAGAAGCACCACTCGAGCACTGTCAAGAGGTCTCAGTTCTGCTAGTAGTTTGCAGACAGTTCCCAAGTCCATAGTTTTTCAAGTATTTACAAGGATAATAATAATTTTGTAAAAAAAAAAAAAGTCCCAAACAACCAAAAGAACTTCAAAACCAAAACACCAAGCTTTTGCCTAATTTATCAGTAGCGATACCTAATTTACCGTTATACAGCAGCATGGAGATCTCTTAATAAAATAGGTTATTACTTTGTTTAGTGACATAAATGGAGAAATACCCATTAAACATACTAGATTTCTATCACAAATCACTAAGATATAAATCTACCTGATAATTCTTTTCTTTAAGAAAAGAATTAAATTATAATTATATAAAAATATAATTATAATTATATTTTTCTTTAAAAAATAATTAAAAACCTCATATACTGCTCATTAATGTGTAGCTGACCTCTAAGTCATTCAAAAAACATAAGCTGTCTCTTTAGCAAACTGTTGTGCTTTCTCAAAAATTCATTTAAACAGTAAATGCTGCTAAAACCACAGAGATAAGCAGTGCAAGGGATCACTAGATAGAGGAAAGTAGAAAATAATGTGGAGAACACTGGTTTCGTGGCAGAGTTACCGGGGGAAATTTGAGAGTGACAAGAGGAAAAAAGCAATCCTTTCCTTTTGAAGTCCTCTGTTCAAATGTGAACTCTTGGCATACTATTTCTGCACAGTACCCACCACAGGGAACCTCTGATCTAGGCCAAAGGCTTTGTGCTGCCTTAAAAGCAACAAGCAAGTCCGTAAAGCATTAAAGGTTAAACATATCCACAGGTTTCAAAATGTTGAAACAGGCTAGAGAACAATTAGCTGATGGCACAAAACTTCTCATGGCTCAAAGCTTTCGTGCCTTACACCAAGGAGGAAATCAGGTGAGGGTTCTTTTGGTTGCAGTTGCAATCTGAATACAAAAACAGAGAGCAGAGGTGTAGATTGCAGAGTTAAGTGACTTGGAGAGCAGGGAGCAGCCATTCATTACCATCGTATTCTCTATTCCGTGCACATCAATTGCTTACTTTGTCAAATGACACGCAAAATTTACATGCATGCTTATTCTTATCCATTCTGGTCTCAGCTGGGGTTTGGGATTCAGTATGGTGCTTAAACCACAGCATCATCTCACTTCTTTTCTTTTCACAGATATGATTTTACTTACAATAATAACTCGTTACTGCTGGCAAAAATGGGCATCAGGCATCTTTGTGAAAATTAAAATCAACTCCCAGGAATATGTGTATTGAAAAAGCTGGGGCTTAGAATTAAATTAAACAAAAGTCTTCATAGCTCCAAAGACAGACACTGTTCATACTGTCGTTTCTGCCAAAGCCTTGCATATTTTCCATAAGCTCATATGAGAAAGAAAGGCAATGGGAACATAAAAGATTCCTTTTCTTGGATAATTACAGTGTAAGTGCTACTAGGAACAGCTTTTAAGCCCCTCCTAGAAAGGTATTTAATGTTTAAAATACCTGGTAATATCTTCAGATAGCTGGGCAGGATCTGGAGGGTAGAATTTCACATTAAATGCAAACTGCCAAGCACCACCTGGAAAAGAACATAGATTGACTGAAAGTACTCTATAAGTGCAAACAAAGATGTTCATGCTGACTTAAAAATATCCCAGCCAAGCAATTAATAAGAACAGGATTTAGTATCTTTTTCCCACACTTCACACTGAAGACACTGTATTAGATCAGATTTTACAGCTCTTTTCTTATTTAGTAAGATTGCCACTGAAGCGAGGACTCTAAGGGAGCAGTAATTTATTACCAATATTAAAAAAACCCTCAGTCTGAAAACCAGGTTTATTGAAAATAACTGCCTGAAAACACAGTCTATATAAGTTTTAAAAAACAATAACCCAAATCAGAGGTACTGAAAACACCACAAGTCAAGAGTACAAACGGGCTCTGGGGCAGGGTTATGTGCCAAGGTCTAGCTGCCCAAACCAGCTCACAACATCCTCTCAGAGTGCTGCCTCAGCACATAGCTCCTTTCTTCAGCAGACATAAATTGTGCAGACAAAGCTGCAAGGACAAACACAGAAAGCATGACCGAAAAAAGTACGTAGCACTAGGGAATTCTTCTTGACTTATTTCAGTAAGTTTAGGTGACCCACGTGATGGATACCGGTTTGTACCACCGCAGTTGGTGAAATTATTTCTGGAGTGTTAGCTTTAAATGTTGTAAAGAAGGAATATCAAGATTTTAAAAAGAGTTGAACACGGTACGTAAATATAGAAGCTATTCTGAAAAAAGGGTCAGGTTACTCTAGTGCATGTCTTGAATGCAAATAAAAAGCAATAACAAAACCCCAAACCACAAGCAACAAGGCGGTTTTACAGTAACAAGACGTTTCACCAAGGCCTCTGTTCCGGGATATACCCCTCATATCTACTTCTACCACATAAATTACAGTCCAGAAACCAGATGCAAAGTAATGTCACTTCTCTATTCTGAAAGGCACTGGTGTCAAAAGGACAAATCTAACTAGAAATAAATATCCCTCTTGAAAAATCCATATTGGCCATGTAACAAGAAAGTGCTCAGGAACACCGTGAAAATCAAGACTTTTCCTTATAAACCTGACACAGGGTAGGGCTTTCCCATGATCTTCCATTCAGGGGCATGTTGTGCCTAGGTACCTCCTAAAGTGTATTGAAGGTTTGAAGGGGTTTGAAGGTGTATCTGGTGCACTCTCTAGCAGGATAGCTTATATGCTGGACAGATCTACTCGCCCAGAAATACTGTATAGTTCTCCAAATTGGGTGTTTGGGAGCTTTTATTTAGAGACAATAGGGAAATTTCATTCTATGCAAACCCCCATTCACTTTGATGATGCACACACCTGAGAAAATAGGCTCATATGTTCAAGACCAGGTTGGATGGGGCATTGAGAAACCTGGTCTATGGCAGGGGTTCAAACTAAGATGATCCTTAAGGTCCCTTCCAACCCAAACCATTCTATGAGTGTGCAAGAAGAGTTTTGATGTTTATCATCAGGACTTCAGCTCCTTGTAAGACTTTTGGAGTCCTTGATTTTAGGAACTTTTCTGTTTTCTTGGGCCATAAAAGCTGGTAAAGGAAGATTTGGCTGGCAGCGAGGATGGGGCATGGTCCCACCTGGGAATGGATCAGACCCAAGGTGGGAGTGCAGCCAGGGGGTGGCACATGGTCCCACAACAGATGGAAGGGGCCCATAAACCTATTCCTTGGCACACATCAAATAAATCAAATCTATGATAAAGCCTATCATATAGCACAGATGGTTAAGATACTACAGTAAGAGGCCTTCACCTCACACAGGGTTTTAAATAAAACCTAACGTTGTGCAAGTTAGTGGGTGCAAATGAAGAGTCACACACATGGCCCTTTCTCACCACTGGGATGAAATCCCTGTGGTCTGCAGTGTGGTACAAGTGGTGTACAACTCAACCAGGGTTTAGCAGGACTATATATATATGTTTGGAAAGCATCATGGGTAACAGCACTACTTTTCACCATTGTCCTGTTCCAAAATTCTGGGGTGAATTGTACAAGCAAATTGCTGTCATCTTCTGCAAATACAACCGTCCACTGCCTCAAGTACAGGACAAGACTCTTCTGCCCTGGTTAATCTCCCGCTGTCACAACCTTTCATTGTCTATTTCATGGTTTGGGAACATATTAAATGCATTTCAAATCTGTGGTGGGGAGCTCAGCTGCTTTTCCTGTACTGAGCAGTAGCATAACCTGATTCATCAAGGTCTAAAGCATCTTCCTCTCCAGATACATCTTCTCGTGAGATTTAGAAAAGGCAAATTTTCATCACTTTGTATTGCAGATCACTTACCTGTAATGAAAATACTACTAGAGGAAAGGTGAGGTTGTTCATAGTAAGTGGGGAAATTTTCCAGTGTAAATTAACCTTTTGAATCTTGGAGAGAGAAAGGATTCACCTGCCAGGCCTGGTCCAACAAATGTGAACTACCAGATACATTTGCTTGTAAAAGCAAAAGTGTTAGAAGAAATAATTTACAACATGTGCAAAGAAAAAAAAACAAACAAAAAACTGAGCTTTCCTGCACATAGAAATCACACACATAAAATATGGTCAAGTTTTAAAAGTGAGGGGAAGGAAAAAAAGGTAGGTCAAATTTTGAACCTAGCAGTCTCAACAAGGCTTTCCTTCGAGAGGTTTCTGAATTTCTAATGTAGCAGACATCTAGTTTTAACAACCAAGATTTTTAAAAGATTCATGTGAATCAGAAAATTGACTGTTTCTCTGTGAGTTGCATGGTCATTTTAGGAGCAAAGATCAAGCTTCTGAAATGCAGACAGGAAAGATATTTTAGGTAGAATGCTATCTTTGCATCAGTGAAATATTTCAGTACAAGGCATGAGTAGTGTTCCTGGATACGATATAAATATCAGTAACACAAGAAATAATTCATATACATGGTCTAGTCCCTAAGGTTACATTGCTTAATGTCAAACCTCGGGTTTTTGCATCTCTGCAAATGTCAAGTTGTTTTCAGCAATGCATGTTCATTTGTTACGAGCCTCAGTAACCACTCTCATTATGGGGTAAAATATCCAAAAGATGCAGGTAATTCTTTTGCCAAAGACTTGGGACTGGATAAAAAGATGATTGTGAAATAAGCTTTTTTGCCACGGGGAGACATGTAAAAGGGGACAAGAATAACAAACTTACTTCGGATCTGCTTCTTGATTTCCTTGGCAGGGTCCAACCAATTCTGCAAAGAAAATGTTTTCTTTTTTCAATTTGAATTAGAAAACACAAGAAACATTATTTTTAAAACAGTGCTATGAGTCGAAGCTAGAACACGCAAAGGTCTGCCACCCCTTTCTCCTTGGAGCAGCAGTAGGCTGGGATAACACTACCTTTCATGATGTGGCCCTGAGTAGAAGCAGGATTTTTATTAACCTTCCCAGACATTGAGGGGCTAAATGGTTTGAAATAAAAGAGTAAAAAAATAGAAACTGGTAAAGTGAATCCACAGAAATCTTTTTCCAGAGTATCTTCTGGAAAAACTAAATTTCTAGAAGCTTGTTACAATTGGTTGCTTGGTTAATTTTTTTTCTCTAATCCTGGAAAGGCTGAAAAGTCTTGCTAGATGATAAGCAAGTGCAGAGGAGGGCACTACCCCATTTGCAAACCAATGTGGGCATGAGGGGCTTTTCCAAGGAAACCAGAGGCAGAACCACAGTACCTTTGCCCCCATCCATACCATGCAAAGCCCAGTGACTATGCAAGATAAAAACCCTTCTGAGGAGATGGGGAATTATCACAGTGATGTGTTAGTACTCTGTGGACGCCAAGGAGCAGATGAAAATTCCTCTGGGTGAGGTACATAACAGCTTGGGGTCTCTTAGTGCCACTGCTGCCTTGACCTCTAACAGAATCAAATTAATATTTAAAATGCATAACAGCCCAGAACAAAAAGTTTGCCTCCCCTAGGAAAGTTTCACTTTCTCCAAAGAAAGATAAACAAATGTATTGGAGAAACAAAAAACCACTAAAGAAATATCAAACAAGCAGAACACAACAATCCCTCCCCAACAAAAACAACCAGTTTGCAGCTGTCCAAACCTGGTCTGTGGTGCAAAACATGAGCCTGAAGAACTCCAGCTATTGCTGAGGACAAAAGCACACTATGTACCACAAAATTAAAGATGCATCAGCATTTCTGTTTACAAAGATGTCATGTGATGTGGGCACATATGTTGTCTGGTTGGAAGTTATGTAGGAGAGGATGGAGGTGAATTGCTAAGTACTTTGACATTAAAAATATATGTTCTTGATCAATAAATGTGGTGGCAGGTAGTTATTCTTTTAACTGCTTAGTTATGTAAAGTAAATGGTGACCTACAAATGTTTAGTGCTTCTAAACCAAGTGTTAATAATAAATCCATTCTTCTCTTTCCAGTACATGAAAGCACACCTATCTGGAAATGAACTTAGACATCTGCCTAGCTTTTATAAAAACTCAAAACTAAGCATATGTTAAAGTGTTATCTTGCACTGACATGGACCAAGTATCTGCTTAGGTGATTTTCTGAATCAGAAACAAAGAAGTCCATAAAGGAAGGGGGAAAGAGAGACAAAAAGACTGACTTTTTTTGTATCATATATAATTGAAACAAATGGAAGTCTAGAAAATACAACTGTTGCTCCCACAAGACACAAGCAGCTGAAAAAGTAGTAAGAGCTCCAGCTCCATCAGGAAGACCTTTCAGGCCACGTAAAGTAAAAACAGCTTCACCTGGTGAGCTCTGCTGGGCTACTGCATATATTGCTAAGAAGTTTTGCACTGTTTCAAAATATTTATCTTAAAATGCCAAAATCACACAGCATATTTTAAATTATCTTTGATACTCTCTCTTTCCCTGTAACAATATATATACATATCACCTGCACACTAGATAATCTTTGACACAGCTTATTTCATACTAAAGTTGAGATGCAGACAAGCAGAATGTGATTCACTCTTGCTACCAACTGCTCCTGAAGACTAATGTCTTTAGTCAAAGCAACAATAATGCTAAGATAAAGAAAGTCAAGACTTGGAGCCTTTATCTTAGCAGTTAGCAGGAGCAGTCAATCATCTCCTGCTTATCTGTGTCCCAACCACAGTATTATTAAGCCATATTTTAGTATCATATATTTAGCAGTGTATCTCTGAATGTCAATCTGACTTTCACCTGTGGCAGTAAAGGAATAAATTATACTAGAAAGAGAACCAGCTATATGATTAACTTCTTTCATGTCATAAACAGCCAAAACAGAGGGAAGCCAGGGAAACACAGGAGATGCTTTTATGAAGTAGAGTGAGTCACAAAAAACAATAGCTCAAACTATGTCTATGGAACCTGGCAAGGAAGGTAAAACCAACGTCTGGATTGTTGCAACTGACTGGGGAGTCTCTGAGTGAGCTCTGGTGTTCGCAGGCCAAAGGTCAGCTGCAGCTCTGTGGGTTACCTTTTGGTTTTCTGTGTCTCTGTATGTTAGTCCAAAGTAGTCTTTTTCCAAAAGGTTCAGATGCTCACACACTTTGTCGAATAGCACTTGACCTCTGGAACGTTTCTGTAGGAAATTAACAGAAAACAAAACAAAAAATATTACGTTTGCAAAATAACATAATAAAGCATTAAAATAGTGCCTCTTCTGTCAAATCAGTAACTTCAAAATCATTCAATTCAATGCATCCATCTTTCTAACCTATTGACCTGGAGCTTCATAGGAAGCTGCTGAATGGGGCAAATTCTTTTTCCCTAAAAGCTCAAGTCTTCTTGCAGAGTTAAAAGTAAGTCACACATCTCATGTTTCAAGTCTCAATAGAAGATCTCTCCTGTCTTTCAGAAACTGCAACTCCAAGGGCATGCTAAGGTCATATCTCTGCAAAACCAGAGCAATTCTTTGTGTGCAAACAGCAACAAACAGCAGCACAAAATATTCCTGCTCATGGATTATCAGAGCTGTGACTGCAGCGGGGTGTCAATCCACTGGAGATAAAACCAAACATGGAGATACTTTTTGCTTCGGTAACAACGTGGACTGATTCCAGGACTCATTTTTGTCTAATATACATGGAAATGTGATTGCACCATCTACTGAAATCATGGAAAGAGCCTAGTATCTAACTGGGAATGCAGTTGGGTAAGAAAGCAGCTTCCCATTGTCCCACTAACCCTCTTTACTGCTGACATGTTAGATGAGAAGATATCTGTCAACAGCCAGAGCCCTTAGCAGAAGCTTCGTAGTATCTCTCATATTGGACAGTAAATATTCAGGTCATCCTAGTTCTCAGTGTTGTATGTGAAATTGAGAAAAAAAAAAATCTCCAAAAGACCAAACACAGACAGAAATGTCCTTTTTATAAGCTACATGTTCCAACTTTGATATGTATTAATTATGATAATCAGTTCAAAATTATTTGGGACACTGTTTCATTACTGCTTACTTCCGTAAGTGCAACTCAGCTAAAGGAAAAAAATCTCCCCGCTTTATTCCAAACACACGCATACATAAATATTTTAGTTGATGTTAGCACAGCATTTTCTTTATCTGTAGCATACACACGACTTGAAGCAGACTGGAAATACACCACTTGCTTCAAAAGCAATGCAGGCGGTTGAAACAGAAGATGAGAGAATGCTGCCCCCAAATTTACGCGCCTCTGCTGACAGAGTTGCAGCCAGACTGCGTTACCAGCCCAGCAGTCTTGGCCGGGAGAGGATAGTTCACAATCCAAGCTGACACAGCTATGCCAACAAACCCATGGAGCCCAATGCTGGCCTCAAACTATTTTAGAAGTGGTAAGCAAGCCAAGAGAAAAAAAAGAAAAGAATTGAGGATTGCTGCCTAACACTCCGTGAAAACATTACAAGAGACAATGGAGGGAGTTGTGCAGCTTAATGTAATTTATGTTAAATTTGGTGTTCTGATGGTATATTGGAAAGGACACTGGGAAACATCCTTTACATTTTTATCAATGGGGAAGCTGATGCATGTGGCTGAGCCTAAAAAGTGTTCTCCAGTTGAGGAAAAAAACCAGGCCCAGAATTGCATTATGAGTGTATTGCTGTAGCTTCATTTACTGTGTCTTCCAGCATCATTTGAGTAAACAGCTTTGCGGCCTTGTTCTACATGTCACATGCTTTCCACCCTGTAGTAGGAAGCAAAAATATGCTCCAGCTCCTTTATAATGTCAAACAAATGTTTAGTTAATTCTTCACGCTCCAAACTTGGAAGTAGATAATAAGAGGTTGGTGGTTTTATACTTGATGCTCCATGTAGAAGAACAGGAGGATAAAAAAGATCTCACTACTGCTGTGTGGAGAGCAATGAACTCAGAATCTTCCAGCCAGAATAGACACATTTCTGCTATAAGCAAGCAATGCTGTATTTTGCCAAATTTCCTGCTTCTTTACTTCTTAACAAACTAAGTACTTATACTGAAAGGAGAGAAAAAAGCAGGTTAGCTCTAGAGGACACCAGCTTTGAAAAATACTGTCTGCACCACTGCGCCATTTACACGTATTCAAATTGTGACACTTCAGTGCTCTCTTAATTTTAAGAGTCACTTAAGGCCAACACAGGAGCTGTTTTATCTGGCCAATCCGTGTAGCTACACAGATGTCTGCTTTGAGAAATACTAGCTAGCAGCTGTAAGGTATGGTGTTTTAACAGGGAACTACAGGAAACAGTTGTGCAGGGCTGTGTTGTAATAAAAACCAACCAACCAGAAAACGCCCAGCGCTCAGGATTTCTTGACTATGGCAATCCCGAATAATTTGCATGGCAATATATCTCCCTCCTCCTCTTTCTCCTGTATGAAGATGCCCAAGCTGTACTCAGTCACTTTCTGCAAAATTCCTGCTGCATCAGGATATGGGAAAACACTGCTGGTGCTGCAAGAGCATATCAGAAATACCACATGTAACTGAGAGCCTTTCCTGGTTCTGGTGCTCTCTTCCCCATCACAAGGCAGGAACTAGTGATAGCTGAGAGAAAGCCTTACTAGGACCACTTCCCTTCCCACTATCCACAGAAACGCCCATCAGCATCCAGACAGATGAGCCTCTGACCGCTCTCCCAGGTCAGAGATGACCTGCAGGAGCAGGATTTAGACGACTCCGGTCATTTGAGGAGTGGGAGTTGCCTTGCAATGGAGCCACCCCTGCTGCGCTAATGAAAAAGCCAAAAGAAATCCTCATGCACCTGTATATTGGCAGCACTGCCACTTTGCACCCATGTGGTGTGAGCAGGCACACTCTGCTTCTAAACCATCATTGCACAGAAATACAGTGAAGGGAAGGTACTGCATAAATTCATGGGAAATTAAGAGGTTTAGTTAGGAATATATAATTAAAGAAACTGAACAGACCTCCTGTGCTCTTGCTAATTGCTTTTATTTTTCTGTGTGCCCAAATAACCATGCCAAGAAAGACACGGGTATCATTGCTTTGGCAGGGACAGAGTGGAGGAGGAGAGAAAGGTCAGCTTACAAATTCATACAGCTCCTCAATCTATCCTAAACCTTTGCTTTCTATCATTTTGAAATGACAAGTCTAAGACGATGAAAGATTGACAGTCTGCTGGTTACTGTGGATCATAAGTTAATCCCAAAAATGCCAATCAATTCTCAGCAGTCAAAAAAAAAAAAAAAAGAAGACTTCGAGCTATAAAATACTGGCCCTGTAAATGAAGAGCTTTTCTGAAAGGCATATATTGCAAGAGTCTCCACTAAAAATACTCTTATATATTTTTCAGGCATGAATGGGATGAAATGAAATGTGCAGATGTGAAAAAAGACACTTTGCTTAAGCTCAGGCAAATCAAGAAAAGAGAAAATACAAAACATAGATTTAATGGTATAAATGAACACAAAGGTCTGGGAGCAAAAACTTTACGCTTTTCACAGTCTCATCCCTGCAGCTCTATAAAGGCCAGGGCTCTCTCGAAGCTGGAATGGGAATAAACAGCCTCCTGGTCAAGCTCCTAGTGAGAGGAGCCAGCAGCAGCAAACTTGGCAAGCCTGTGCCTGCCAGCAATTCCCCCACACACACAAGGGAAAGGAGAAGCAGCCTCTCTTCTCACCAGCTTCTCTTTGGTTTTAGAACTGAACTTCTCCCTCCCTCCAAGGCTGAAGGTCTCCCCTAGTTGTCTTCTCCAGAAACAGTTCATGCTCAAACCTTTCAACATCAGCTTCTTCAGCCCATATCCCTCCATTATACCACCAGAACAAGATAACAATGAGGAGCTCAAAAATTAAGTACTTCTGTCTTAGCTCTTTCTGGATAACAAGATTATTATAAAGTCAATTATTCTCACTGGCAAACATTTGAGTAAAATATTCAGTATTTCTTTATGCAGAAAAAAAAAATATAAAAGTTTTCCTTTATTATGATTAAGCCCATAAGCTGTAACCTACTTATAATACACAAACATTATTCAAGTGAAAACATTCAAGCCTTTGTTATTCATACATTGTAACTCCAGCCATAAAATAGGTACTGCATGTTAATCACAGAACCACAGATTGGCTTCCACCTACAGCGGGTTGCTCAGGATTGTGTCCACTTGGGTTTTGAATATCTCCATGGATGGAGACTTCCAGCCTGTGTGGGAAATCTGTGCCAGTGTTTGACCATGATATGATATTTACTATGATGGTAATTTTTTTTTCTTCCATTTAAATGAAAATTCCTATCTTTCACTTTGTGGCCCTTGCCTCTTGTCCTGGCAAATGGGTACCACTGAGCATACTTTGGCTCCGTCTTCTTTACTCCTCCCATCAGATATTGATAGACATCGTTAAGATCCCCCCAGAGCCTTCTCTTCTCCTGGCAGAACAGTTCCAGCTCTCAGACTTTCCTCATGAAATAGATGCTCCAGGGCCTTCGTAATATCTGTGGCCCTTTGTTGGACTCTGTCCAATATGTTCATGTCTGCCTTGTACTGGGGAGTCCAGGTCCAGACTCAGCACTTCAGGAGCTGAGTAGAGGGGAAGGATGACCTCCCCTGACCTTCTGGTAACATTGCCCAGGATGGCACTGGCCTTCTGTGCTGCCAGGGCACATTGTTGACTTTTTTCCACTTTTTTGCCCATCAGGACCCTCAGGTAATAAAAAAACCTGTATTGCAGCAACCAAGCTACCAAACCTGTATGTTCTTGTACGGTGATAAACAAAGGGGAAAATTACGTAGAAAATGAGCAACCAACAACTTAATACAAAGATGTGACACCAACTTTCTTGTCATACAGGTACTAGTAAGACCCCAGGAAATTTCTTTGGTATTTAGTAAGATACAGGGATGAGATCAGAAAGATTTCAAATGTTATGTGCTGGATGGTGCTTCCCAGACTGGAAGCCAGTTGTGCCAGAGGAAAATTTATCAGGATTCAGAACTGGCACCTCCAAGGGACAAATTTTATTTCTGTGCAAGACTGTAGGCTTGGCTCCCCCATGCCAGCAGGCACCACCTCTCCAAAATGTCTCCTTTAAGCTGCTGTGGCCTGTCCTGAAACACAACCATTTGCAGTCTTCCTGCAGGGCATTTTGGCACCCACTCTGATGATG